TTACAGAGGCGTGTTCTGTGTACACACAGTGGATATATAAAGTCTACACCCCCCTGTTAAAATGTCAGCGTTCTGTAAATAAAAATGAGACAAAGATAAATCATTTCAAAACTTTTTCCACCTTTAATGTGACCTATAAACTGTACAACTCAATTGAAAAACAAACAGAAATCTTTTAGGGGGGAGAAGTAAACATAAAAAACTAAAATAATGTGGTTGCATAAGTGTGCACACCCTCTTTTAACTGGGGATGTAGCTGTGTTCAGAATTAAGCAATCACATTAAAAATCATGTTAAATAGGAGTCAGTACACACCTGCCATCATTTAAAGTGCCTCTGAATAACCCCAAATAAAGCTCAGCTGTTCTAGTAGGTCTTTCCTGACATTTTCTTTGTCGCATTCTACAGCAAAAGCTTCCAAAGCATCAGAGGGATCTCATTGTTAAAAGGTATCAGTAAGGAGAAGGGTACAAAAGAATTTCCAAGGCATTAGATATCCCATGGAACACAGTGAAGACAGTTATCAAGTGGAGGAAATCTGGTGCAACAGTGACATTATCGCTTCTCGGCCTTTTGGCTAAGATCAAGTGTGGTATCTGTTCTTATCAGTGTCCAGTGGGGGTGCTCCCGACCATTCTAGCTTTGCGGGGATGGTTGTTGTATAGTACCCTCACTGGAATGATGGGGGTCCGGAAGGCTAGTACCGGAGGGACAGAAACCGGGGAGCGCCACGAGTTAAGCTGGGCCCCGGGAGTAATTCCTCTGGGAAGACTGGAAAGACCCAGTACCTCCTGATTTGAACATGCTACCTTGGTCTGGCCAGGGGCTGGGAAGGCAAAAAGTCTGCAAACTCAGTGCCCCCTGGGGAGACGCGCTCAGGGGTGTCACTAGTAACACTTGGGTGTGGGACCCCACGGTGTGAAAATGACACTTGGTCACTGTTTTTACACTCCTTTTTGCACAGCGCCCTAAGGACCAGGCCTTTTGGCTAAGTTCAGGGCAATTTTTGCTACGGGCCTCAGGGCCTGGTCTGTGCACATTTCGGCACGGTACCATTTTTTTATTTTATTTACTTTACCTTATTTATTTATTATGCACTCCCACGTTTGTCACTTTTTTCTTTGCCTTATGTGTGTGTTTTTCACGGATGGAGGGTGTGGGTCCTCGGGCCTACCCTGAAGTCTAGGGGGAGGATGTGTGGCCATACGGTTCCTTCCTCCCCTGATCCCTAGGAGGCTTTTCTTCGGGAGAGCCTCCTCGCCTAGTACTGGATGTCCGGCTTTGGCTGGGCATAGGGAACGGTGGTCCACCAGGCCTTTTGGCCAGGAGGACCAATTGGGAACCTTGTCCCCGTCAGGAGCTTCGTGCCCCGGGGGATCAGGGTAAGCGGTCCAAGCCCCTTTAGGGGTAGGACACAGCACACCCCTAAGTGCACTTTTTTGTGTGGTGTTTTGCACTTGCACTTTTTTTGTGAACACTTAGGGGTTTTTTCGTTATAGTTGCACGTTTGCGGACTTAAAAAAAAAAAAAAAACAGTGACATTACCAAGAACTGGACGTCCCTCCAAAATTGATGAAAAGACCAGAAGAAAATTGGTCTGGGAGGCTGCCAAGAAGCCTACAGCAACATTAAAGGAGATTCAGGAATATCTGGCAAGTACTGGCTGTGTGGTACTTGTGACAACAATCTCCCGTATTCTTCATATGTCTGGGCTATGGGGTAGAGTGGCAAGACGGAAGAGAAACATCCAAGCCAGGCTAAATTTTGCAAAATCACATCTGGAGTCTCCCAAAAGCATGTGGGAAAATGGGTTATGATCTGTTGAAACCAAGGCTGAACTTTTTGGCCATAATTCCAAAAGATATGTTTGGCGCAAAAAACAACACTGCACATCACCAAAAGAACACCATACCTATAGTGAAGCATGGTGGTGGCAGCATCATGCTTTTGGGTTGTTTTTCTTCAGTTGGAACTGTTCCAAATACCAGTCAATATTGGCACAAAACCTTCAGGCTTCTGCTAGAAAGCTGAACAGGAACTTCATCTTTCAGCATGACAACGCCCCAAAGCATACATCCAAATCAACAAAATTTTGCAAACAGGTAATTTTTCTCTTTCACTGATGTTCGTTGATGAGGCTGCACTGATAGGCAGCACTGATGAGGTGCAACTGCTGGGCAGCACTGCAGGGCACTGCTGGGGCGGCACTGCTCATCAGTGGCGATCTGCTCTGTGACAGCTGACGGTTATTCTGCAGCACTCTTCTCACGCTGTGAGAGTGTGAGGAAAGTGCTGCCGATAACCGGCAACTGTATTGGACACAGCAGATCACGTGATAAAAGGCCACTGTGATTGGCCTTTTACCTCATCACGTGATCAACTGTGTCCATTGGACACAGCGATCACGGAGATTGCTGGGCGCATGTTGCTGGGGGTGCGTGGGAGGGCGCATTCTGGGAGGATGCCATATGAAGCCCTCCCAGAACTGGACAACTGCGCTGTAGCCGTCATTTGGCTATAGCGCAGTAAGCATGTGGTTCAGAGTGACAAATGAGTGAACAGTCCCCCCACTAGCCTGATTGGAAATCCAAAAACATCCATGGGGTCCCCGCAACAGCCATATCGGACCCTTTAGGTATGATTGGATTCCCCCCCAAAAAAAAATGCATGGGCCCCCCCTAGGAGCCATACCAGGCCCTTCAGAGTTGGTAGGGCTTTTAAGGGGAACCCCACTGAAATTTTTTTGCGTGGGGTTCCTCCCCCAGAAGCCATACCAGACCCTTCATCCAAGCACGCTGCCTGACAGACCAGGAAAGGGTGGGATGGGCATGCAGCCCCCCCTCCTAAACCTTACTAGGCCACATGCCCTCAACATGGGGGGTCCCTGGCAGGGGCGACACCAGGCACAGTAGCCAGCCCCCATGTTGACGAGGACAAGGACCTCTTCCCCACAACCCTTGCCCGGTGGTTGTGGGGTGCGGGGGGAAACTTAAGAATGTGGAAGCCCCCAGATCCCGCCCCCTCCATGGAAGAGTATGGGGTACATAGTACACCTGGTTACTCTTTCACAACCATCCAATCCAGAAATAAAGAAAGACATCACACGGGGAAAAAGTCCTTTATTAGGAGGAAAACCCAGACACAGGAAGAATCCAGTCATTTCATGGGGGACTGAGGGGGACCGATCCCGGCTCGGTGTTTCCGACCACGCTGCCACATCACAACCCACCGACCGATCGCTGTGTGTCCATTTTGTTGGAGGAAACTGAACGTCCACACAGCTGGGTGAGGCTCCACCCCCTATCACATCATTCTTTTCTGAAGTCACCCCCTATCACGTGTCTCTCTTTTCCTAAGACCCCCCTATCACGTCTGTCTTTTCCTAAGTCCCCCCCTTCACGTGTCTCTCTTTTTCTAAGTCACCCCTATCACGTGTCTCTTTTCCTAAGTCACCCTCATCACATCTCTCTTTTCCTAAGTCACCCCCATCACGTCTGTCTTTTCCTAAGTCACCCCCCCTATCAAATGTCTCTCTTTTCCTAAGTCAACCCCCTATCAAATGTCTCTCTTTTCCTAAGTCAACCCCCTATCAAATGTCTCTCTTTTCCTAAGTCACCCCCATCACGTCTCTCTTTTCCTAAGTCACCCCCTATCACGTGTCTGTCTTTTCTTAAGTCACCCCCATCACGGCTCTCTTTCCGAAGTCACCCCTATCACGTCTCTCTTTTCCCGAAGTCACCCCCTATCACGTGTCTCTCTTTTTCCGAAGTCACCCCCTATCACGTGTCTCTCTTTTCCGAAGTCACCCCCTATCACGTGTCTCTTTTTCCGAAGTCACCCCCTATCACGTGTCTCTCTTTTCCCAAGTCACCCCCATCACGTGTCTCTCTTTTCCTAAGTCACCCCCTATAACGTGTCTCTCTTTTCCTAAGTCACCCTCTATCACGTGTCTCTCTTTTCCTAAGTCACCCTCTATCACGTGTCTCTCTTTTCCTAAGTCACCCCCCCTATCCCGTCTGTCTTTTCCGAAGTCACCCCCTATCACGTGTCTCTCTTTTCCTAAGTCACCCCCTATCACGTGTCTCTCTTTTCCGAAGTCACCCCCCTATTTCTTTTCCGAAGTCACCCCCTATCACGTGTCTCTCTTTCCCAAGTCACCCCCATCACGTGTCTCTCTTTTCCTAAGTCACCCCCTATAACGTGTCTCTCTTTTCCTAAGTCACCCTCTATCACGTGTCTCTCTTTTCCTAAGTCACCCTCTATCACGTGTTCTCTTTTCCTAAGTCACCCCCCTATCCCGTCTGTCTTTCCTAAGTCACCCTTATTCCGTGTCTCTCTTTTCCTAAGTCACCCCCCTATCTTGTCTGTGTCCGAAGTCACCCTCTTCACGTGTCTCTCTTTTCCTAAATCACCTCCTAAGTGTCACTCCCCCTAAGTCACCCCCCCACCTATCTTGTCTGTTTTTCCGAAGTCACCCCCCTATCACGTGTCTCTCTTTTCCGAAGTCACCCCCTATCACGTGTCTCTCTTTTCCTAAGTCACCCCCTATATCGTGTCTCTCTTTTCCTAAGTCACCCTCTATCACGTGTCTCTCTTTTAGTAAGTCACCCCCATATCACGTGTCTCTCTTTTCCTAAGTCACCCCCGTGTCTCTCTTTTTCCTATCACCCCCTATCACGTGTCTCTCTTTTCCTAAGTCACCCCCCTATCACGTGTCTCTCTTTTCCTAAGTCACCCCCCTATCACGTGTCTCTCTTTTCCTAAGTCCCCCCATCACGTGTCTCTCTTTTTCCTAAGTCAGCATTCTATGTCTCACGTGACCCAATCAGCTGACCCTGCTTTCACACTCTGCCGGATTTCTACATAGGAAGCCTCGGACTGCCGCCATATTTGTACTCTCAGTCAGGGCTCCTTGGTGGGCGCTGTGTTACTGCTGTTCCAGTCCCCCCAGGAAGTGGAGCCCGGAATAAGAGGTTCCGGGGCCGAGCATAGTGATAGCTATGGCTGGAAGAAGCGGCCCGGGCTCAGTTCCCTGGCTCGGGGCGGCGGTGCTGGTGTCGGTCCAGGTTCTCGTTGTAGCTGTACAGACCACCCAGGCTCATCAGCTCCGCTTTGTCACCGTGGTAAGTGACGTCATGTGTATCCTGCACTGCCTGGGTTAGGAGATTATTGTGGGAGACCCGGAAGTGGCAAGGACAGGCTGACTCCAGATTTGTGCCAGACATGGCTGACAATACATTATATAACAGCCATAGCTGACGGTGTGCCTTTCTAGGTTTGACTTTGCAAATGGGTTTTTTTTTTTTTTGTGTCTTTTGGATCAATAAAGCTGTATGGTGATTTGAAAGGTGATGTAACCCATAGCAACAAGAGGTCGGCTTATTGGGGGAAATAGAGCCCTTGGGTCACACAGGTGACAGGGTCGCACTCCTATGTTGTGTTTGCATGCATGCACCCCTAACAAAATCTCAGAACCTCTCTTTACTCGCTTGACCCATAAGCTGGTTCTCACAGTTCTCCCCACTTGTGTGTGTTTTTTTTTTTTTTTTTTTTTTCTTTTGCTAGAAAATTCCTTAGAGCCTCCAAACTGTATCTTTTAAGTAGAGGCCCTAGAAAATAAAATGGTGGGTGTTGCAACCTTTTCTGCCCCATGGTATTTGCACAGCACGTTTTCAAACACACTTAATACTTTTTAAAAGGTATTTATTATTATTATTATACAGGATTTATATAGCGCCAACAGTTTGCTCAGTGCTTTCCAATATAACGGGAGACAATACAGAAATGATACAAGGGGGATAGGCGGGTCCTGCTCCTTGGAGTTTACAATCTAAGAGGGAGGGGCTAGTGGTACAAAAGGTAATAACTGTGGGGGATGGACTGGCTGGAAGAGTAGAAGATTCCATTATTAGCTGATGGCAGGATAGGCTTCCCTGAAGAGATAGGTTGTCAGAGATCGCCTAAAAGTGAGCAGAGTAGGCGATAGTCAGATAAATTGGGGTAGAGAGTTCCAGAGGATGGGGGAGACTCTGGAGAAGTCCTGGAGACAAGCATGGGAAGAGGAGACAAGGGAGCTATAGAGCAGGAGGTTGTGGGAGGAGCGGAGAGTACAGTTCGGGTGATATTTGGAGACAAGATTGGTGATGTAATTTGGGGCAGAGTTATAAATGGCTTCTATGTTATTGTTAATGGTTTGAATTTTATCCATTGGGCAATGGGAAGCCAGTGGAGGGATGGCAGATATAGAACGGTTAGTAAGGTGGATGAGTCTGGCAGCAGCATTCATGATAGACTGAAGGGGGGGATAGCCAGCGATGAGGTAGGACAATGAGGAGGGAGTTACAATAGTCAAGGCGAGAGATAACCAGGGAGTGAATACGTTGCTTAATAGTTTCAGAGGTTAAGAACGGGCGTATCTTGGAGATGTTGCGGACGTGAAGTCTACAAAATTTGGACAGTGATTGTTTATTTAGTTTTCATAAAACCGTTACAATAACAAAGAAAAACAAACAACAAAAGGAGTCTCAAACTAAGGACATAAGAGTAAGGGTTACATAAAAAGGGAGTAAAAAAAACAATAAACGGGTTATTGCCAGGGCTACCTTGAACCCATCCAAAAAAAAAAGTGACCGTTACATATAGAAACATTCCAGAACTAGAAAAGCTACAATTTCTGGGGAAATTGTGTGAAGTGTTCTTGCCTCCACCAGTAGTCTACAACTGGAGTGGGCAGAGTAACTGGGTGGAGTGGCTTGAGCAGGGGTGGACTGACAACTCATGGGGCCTCCGGGCAATAGGGGATCATGGGGTCCCTGTGTCCTTGCCCAAACTCAAAAAAGCCTATGAAAAAGCAACCAGGGGCATCTCATGGGGCCCCCTACTGACCCCAGGCCCTCGGGCAGTGCCCGAGTTTCCAAATGGTCAGTCCGCCCCTGGGCTTGAGTAACTGTTGTGTGGTTGGAGTGGGCGGAGTAACTATTGTGTGGTTGGTGGTGGCGGAGTAACTATTGTGTGGTTGGAGTGGGCTGGAGTAACTGTTGTTGTGGGGCGGAGTTGGTGGTTGGAGTGGGGCGGAGTAACTGTTGTGTGGTTGGAGTGGCTGGAGTAACTATTGTGTGCGTGTAACTATTGTGTGGTGGAGTGGCTGGAGTAACTGTTGCGTGGGCGGAGTTGTGAGTTGGAGTGGGCGGAGTAACTGTTGCGTGGTTGGAGTGGCTGGAGTAACTGTTGCGTGGTTTGAGTGGCTGGAGTAACTGTTGCGTGGTTTGAGTGGCTGGAGTAACTGTTGTGGTGGTTAACTGGTGTGGCTGGAGTAACTGTTTGCGTGGTTTGGAGTGGCTGGAGTAACTGTTGTGTGGTGGTTGGGTGTGGCTGGAGTAACTGTTGTGTGGTTGGAGTGGCTGGAGTAACTGTGAAAACTGTTGGTTGGACTTGGGGCAGAGTAACTTTTGGAGGAGTGGGCAGAGTAACTGTGTGGAGTGTTTGGAGTGAGTAAAGATAGTAAACATTACACTAACCAATTGATTGATCAAATTTAAAAAGTGCACATGGCAAGCTTGATAGAGTGAGAAATGCATTTCAACTTTTAATTATTTATATGGCACATTTAATTGCAATGTTGTTGCCCAAAGTGCTTCACAGTTACATTAAAACATACATTTCTAAAAACATTAGCAGCATTATCACCTCAAATACTCTCTACTGTAGAAAACTTATTTCCAAACCTTTAACCAGAAGCCGGCCAAACTGTCACCAATTCAAAATTAGATTTCAAATAGGGCAGAGAAGAGCGTTGTGTTAAAAACAAACTGCTCCAAATTGCTGACTTCACTGGCGTCTTCAAATGGTCATAGTTTTAAAAACTATAAATCCTACAGCAAAGAGCTTTATATTGTGAGAATCACAAGACCTACATTTCGATGCATAGTATGTCTCTGAAATATTAAAAATGAAGGCACAGTCGCAGTTTAGAAATTGCCCATCAAATTTGAGGTGGCTAGAGTGGAGTTTAAATGAATGTCAATGGACAGCGTGAGTTGCAAACAAATGGTCATATTGTGAAAACTATCTGGACTATGGCTTAGCCGTGGACATTTTTAGTGGCAGAGGGATAGCTGAACGTTTTGATATAAGATTTGTGTGGGTGGGTTTGAAAATGAGGGAGTGATGGCAGTTTAGAAATCATGTCCTGATTTTTCAGCTCCACACTCTAGTTTTGAACATTCCGCCATTCATTCCCATGGGAACAATTTCACCACAAAAACGCCGATATTTCGTGAACCATTTGGCGAAACGTTCCAAGTAATAGCTCACCAATCGGGAACAATCCGCACGTTTCAGTATATTACTGTCTATGTAGTGTGAAAAACTGTGGGAGGAGTTAGGGTGGTAAATTTGGCTATAATAATAAGAATATATATGTGAGATAACAGTAAGTGTCTTGCCATGCAAGAACACTTAATAAAAGAGAAACCAAAAAGAAACAAACGAATGCAGTCATGCACAAATTCACAGATCCGCCACCTATTCCTTAACCCCTTCCCGCCGGCGCCTCCCGGCCCTTTAAGAGTTTCACAAGCCGGGAGGCAGGCCAGGCGGGGTTTAGGACTCATATGACCGCCGTGACATGTCATCACGGTGGTCACATGATCGGGAAAGGTCCTGATCGAAAGATCAGACCGGGGCCTTTCAGTGTGTACCGGACATGTGTGCTGGGTGCGCGCTCTCAGCACACACGTTTTTTGTTAATTGCACACAAATGTGCGGCCACTCGCCGTCTAGGCCCAGATGCCAGGAGGCCGCACATTGTGTGCTGCCGGCGTGAAGAGGTTAAAAACGACACTAGAGAGAGCCACCACTACAGTAGCACCAAAAATAACAACCTCTCTCAGGATATAGAACCCTGCGACAGTGAGTGTGATAGTGGAATATCCCCCCAGAAAGAGTCTGTCTAGCCAGCGTTGGACATATTTTTGTAAACTTTTTAGGGCAGGTCTGACTTTTTGTAGATCAGCTTGTATTTAGGCAGGTCAAGCTTTAACTATTCGGTAGAATACATTTAATACCTTAATTCCAATGCACAAAAACACAATATACTACTGAATTATTTGGTAAAATCGAAAGGATGATGTTACACCGAGTAAATGGATATCTAACATGTCACACTTTAAAAATGCTCACGCTTGTGAATTGACGACAAACCGTACTTAAAAAAAAAAAATCAGGCTTTTAACCCCTTTTGCTGGCAGGAGAGGGGAATTGACCAGTCAGCTGTCACCCCATCGCGTCCACGCACCCGCAGAGCAATTGTCCCACCCCCCACTGTTTCCCAGGCTCCACTCTACTATCTGCTAACCTGGAACCAGCATGGCGGGTTCCACCTGGTAGAGTGCAGGGAGATCTGAGACCATCTCTTCCACTAAGTAAGAAACCTGGTTCCTGCTGTCACTTTTCCCAACCGCTGTAGCAGAGGAAGACACTAGTGGAACACATTATGTGCTCCATTAGCTTCAGCGGATAGCAGGTCTAATTGTCCCCTGATGCCTCATTAAAGTGGAGGTCTAGTTGAATTAAAAAAAAAAAAAGTAATCGGCTACAAAAACTGTATCTGCTGACTTGTAAAATACAGACCGTTACCTGTCCCTCTGTCCAGCGATGTCCTCACCACGGCTAGTTTCACCGGCCATCTTCTCTCCCTGGCATCTTCAGTGTGGGCGCCTGTCTGTGACAGCTTGCGGTTTCACAGCTGACTGCCCACTGTGCATGCATGAGTAACGCTGCGCTTTGTGAATGGTCCTGTAGTCTTTTGGGACTTGTCCTGTGTCCCAGAGGACTACGCTGCGGGAGGGGGGAGGACAACTTCTGCTTCCCATCGCCTTACACAATTGCACCTGAAGTGGGAGTGGGTACCTGTCAAATGTGGTTACCTGCTCCCCAGAGATGCCAATCCTTATGTGGGAGTGGGCGACAAAGCCTTAAAGCGGAACTTCCCCTTTTGGGTGGAGCTCCGCTTTAACGAGAACCTGTCACACCAAAAATAGTATCGCATAGGAGACTTAGTCCCCCCATAAAGCTTAGTGAAAAAAGTGGAAAATATTAATGTTACATCCAAGCACTTAAAACTCCCCCCAAAAATGTTGAGCCAAATGAATCAGGGGCGCCTATGCACAAAAACATCGACAGCGCAACACATATGGCCGTGCACGCTGGAGCGAGAGCAATGATTCTTCCTCCATTACTCACCAATGACTCTAAAGTGAACGTGCACCAAACATGCAATACAGATCATTTCTGGAGTTCAGCTTTACAAAGTATTACCAGGAGTCAGGCTTCAAGCCAAAATTTGTGTTTCCTGTCACTTTAAAAAGTTTTATTGTGCCAGCTTAGTTCAAAAGAATGTGTACTCTTAGACTGCTGTCACACGTTTTTCTTCCGCTTTTGCATTTAAATAGGCAGAAGAAAAATGTGTGACCATGGAACTCTTACACTGATCTTGTTGTGGTTTGCTGCGTTTTTTAAAATCCTGTTTGGTGCCGTAAAAAAACACACCTCCCCATTGAAATCAATATAAAACTTGGCAAAAATGCATTAAAAAGACACCCACGTTGCATTCTTGCTGCAGTTTTTGAGTCGCATGTAAAAAAACGAAAAAAAAAAAACCAGCCTAACAGAATGGTCTGACCACTGTGGATACTATTATATACTACAAAAGCTTGTGCTGCATACAGCAAGTTATCTTCCTGGCCGAGTCCTACACACTTCCCTTTTGTGCCAAGAAGAGAGTAGGACATATGGCATCTCATCCATTCAGGAACAGCCTTGTATTATTCTCTGAATACAAGGCGTTGTCTGTTTCGCTAAGGTGAAGAGGCGGATGGATGACATCATAATCAATCTCCATCTCAGTCAATCGGAGAACGCTTTTGTATTTATTGTTAAAAATACAAGGCTCTTCCTGAATGGCTGAGATGCCATAGAACCGATTTTTTTTCTGGGCACAAAAGGGAAGTGTGTAGGGCTCAGCCAGGAAGACAGCACAGCTTACTGTATGCAGCACAATCTGCTCTGCTGTATTACAGCCTCTACAGTGACTGTCCTTGGGTGGCTTTGTGGCTCCTCCATGGATACAATGTAGGAATGCTTGTAGCCTTGCTAAGACACATAATGTTGTTCAGCTGTGCATGGTAGCCAATCGGCTTCTAATTTCAGCTTGTTCAATTAACCCCTTGACGCCAAGCATACTATGCGGCCTCTCGGGCGTCTGGGCCTTGACGCTGAGCGGCCGCATATTTCCGTGCAATTAGAAAATACATATATGCTGAGAGTGCGCACCCTGTGCCTCACGGAAATGGCATCACTAATCTTGTCTCTAAATATCACCCAAACCGTCCTCTCCGCTCCTCACACGACCTCCTGCTCTCTAGCTCCCTTGTCTCCTTTCCTCCCATGCTCGTCTCCAGGACTTCTCCAGAGCTTCCCCCATCCTCTGGAATGCTCTACCCCAATTTATCAGACTATCACCTACTCTGCTCACTTTTAGGCGATCTCTGAAAACCACTCTCTTCAGGGAAGCCTATCCTTCCCTCATCTAATAATGGAATCTTCTATTCCTCCTACCAGTCCGTCCCCCACAGTTACTGCCCTTTTGTACTACTAGCCCCTCCCTCTTAGATTGTAAGCTCCCAAGGATCAGGGCCCTCCTAACCCTCTTGTATTGAACTGTATTGTCACTGTAATGTCTCTCCTTATATTGTAAAGCGCTGAACAAACTGTTGGTGCTATATAAATCCTGTATAATAATATGAGAATATCCCCTTCTCTCTTGGAGACAGCACAGGGAATAAAGCCGATATCCCTAAAATTGAGGGAAATTGCAATCTATGAAGTTTTCATTGGATATTTTTTCACCTTTGGAAGGGAAGACCTCTTTGCTACAGTTTTGGATTTCCCCTCACTTTGTTTCATTAGCAATGATCACCAGGGTTGTAAACTGACGGGGGAAACGGGTTGTAAACTGACGGGGGAAACGGGTTGTAAACTGACGGGGGAAACTGGGGGGAAACGGGTTGTAAACTGACGGGGGAAAAAACGGGTTGTAAACTGACGGGGGAAACGGGTTGTAAACTGACGGGGGAAACGGGTTGTAAACTGACGGGGGAAACGGGTTGTAAAACGGGTTGTAAACTGACGGGGGAAACGGGTTGTAAACTTAGTGTAAATTGATTCGTTTTTGCTTGGAAAATACGTGACTGAACTGAAAAAAAAAAACAAAAAACCGGAACGCCCGTGTGAAAGGGGCCTTAAACTTTGAATCTGACTGATTTCTTTGCAGAGTTTCACCAGATTTGGCACTCCCCAGTTTTAGGCTCCGTGCACATGAAGCGTTTTAATCACACTGGTAGCGTTTAGCTGTGTAAAGTCATGTTTAAAAATGTGAGGGTTTTTTTTTTAGCATTTTTGCTTTAGTGTTTAGCTGCATTTTTCCGAATTTGCATTTTTTTTTACTCAAAAAAGGGTCCAAAAACAGTTTTGCGGCATTTTACCACATTTTTCAGCATTTTAGAGCGTTTTTACAGCTAAATAACTCCTCTAGAAACTCACTAGTTCTGGATTTTTTTCCAAAAAAAAAAACACCCCTGCCAAAAAATGCTGATTACAGTCTGTGTGCATGGACACATAGGATAACATGCTGGGGGGTTTACTGGCTGTAGAAAAAAAACGCCAAAAGCCAAAAACAGCCGCTGTAAAAAACGTCCAGTGTGTATGAGGACTAAGTAAATTGCCCCCCAGGTGTCTTGTGGTGAACAGGTTCCTTCCTCCTCTTGTTCAGCTCTCAGTGCTGCAGAGAATGACATGACCCTGTTCTGTGCAGCATTTTACTGTGAACCCAAGCCGGCAACTCGCAGGTAGTAGGTTGAAATGATAGGCATCATTGGAAGGCCACCATGGAGGCCAAGCTGTCTTCAGCCCGTGCGAAGAATGTAAAGCCGTGCATGAAGAGTCTTTAAACAATGCTTGTTATATGGCCGATATGAATATCAATTCAGCCCCGAACATAGGCTGTAAGGCTGCGCAGGCTCTTGACTGACACATCTGCTATGACGGGGAAGAATACAAGTATAATAATACTTAGTAATAATAAATCTCCGATAATCCCTGTAAAGTAAGGCTTCAGTTATTACAAATCATTGGTGACTGTTCTCTTTACACCCTGTGCATAGTTGTGTGAAGGGGAGGATCTGAGGCCATTCTATGTATGGGGGGGGACAATGATTTTGGAAATCCTGAAAACAAACTGGAGTTCATTGCTGTGTCCCGTTTCTATTGTCAGTGGGTGTACAGTATATTGGTGTGGCTGCTTGTAGATAAAGGACTGTATGAGATGGACTGAGGAGGTGTTTATCTTTGTTTTTATGAATACACCATCTTTTTTTTTTTTTTTTTTTCTCCTGCAGGTATATCGTCATGGTGACCGGTCCCCAGTCAGGACTTACCCGAAGGATCCTCATCAGGAAAGTGCCTGGCCTCAGGGATTTGGGCAGCTCACACAGGTAGGGTAAGATAACTTGCTTTCATGGTTCTGCAGATTTGAGCTCATTCACTTCTTAGATTGAATTCTCCATGTTATTACATAGAGGTGCCATCTTTTATGGGCTACTTTTATTTTACCAAAGGTTTTATTTAGCGTGTTAAAAAGAAACATACAAACCATAACAAATCGTGTGGTACAAAGGACAACAAACCATAGAGGACAGGGAAACATCACACAATAAACACAGAGATGCACATACAAGACTTACACCGCGGTTCAGGTAATACTATGAAAGGCAAAGGGCTGCAAGACCCTCAGCCACTTTCAGAAATATAAAAGCTACACACAAGAAGGCAACAAAAAGAAAACACTTTTATGGGCTACTTTAAAACACAGGCAGGGTCTTTTCTACACACAGGGTCACGTATACAGAATAATAGGCCTGTAAGAGAAGAGGAAATGTACTTACCGTATCTTTCGCTCCATGAGACTCACCTGACCATAAAGACACACTTAGGTTTTAGAGGGAGAAAACAAGAAAAAAAAAAAAATTCCGAACCAATGGACTGCACACATAGTACAGGAGATGACCAGAGACTGCGGAGGTACTACAGGAGATGACCAGAGACTGCGGAGGTACTACAGGAGATGACCAGAGACTGCGGACATAGTGCAGGAGATGACCGAGACTGCGACAGTGCAGGAGATGACCAGAGACTGCAGACAGTGCAGGAGATGACCAGAGACTGCAGACAGTGCAGGAGATGACCAGAGACTGCAGACAGTGCAGGAGATGACCAGAGACTGCAGACAGTGCAGGAGATGACCAGAGACTGCAGACAGTGCAGGAGATGACCAGACTGCAGACAGTGCAGGAGATGACCAGACAGCAGACAGTGCAGGAGAGACTGCGGACACAGACAGGAGACGGCCGGAGACTGCGACACGGTGCAGGAGATGACCGGAGACTGCAGACAGTACAGGAGACGGCCGGAGACTGCGACACGGTACAGGAGTGCACGGCCGGAGACTGCGGACACGTACAGGAGACGGCCGGAGACTGCAGACAGGTGCAGGAGACGGCCGGAGACTGCAGACACGTGCAGGAGATGACGGCCGGAGACTGCGGACACGTGCAGGAGATGACCGGAGACTGCGGACACGGTGCAGGAGATGGCCGGAGACTGCGGACACGTGCAGGAGACGACCGGAGACTGCGGGCACGGTGCAGGAGACGGCCGGAGACTGCGGGCACGGTGCAGGAGACGGCCGGAGACTGCGGACACAGGTGCAGGAGACGGCCAGAGACTGCGGACACGTACAGGAGACGGCCGGAGACTGCGGACACGTACAGGAGACGGCCGGAGACTGCGGACACGGTGCAGGAGACGGCCGGAGACTGCGGACACGGTGCAGGAGACGGCCAGGAGACTGCGGACACAGTACAGGAGACGGCCGGAGACTGCGGACACGGTGCAGGAGACGGCCGGAGACTGCGGACACGTACATGAGACGGCCAGAGACTGCGGACACGGTACAGGAGACGGCCGGAGAGACTGCGGACACGGTGCAGGAGACGGCCGGAGACTGCGGACACGGTGCAGGAGACGGCCGGAGACTGCGACACGGTGCAGGAAGACGGCCGGAGACTGCGGACACGGTGCAGGAGACGGCCGGAGACTGCGGACACGGTGCAGGGACGATCGGAGTGCATGGAATATATGCTTCCCCACCACATGCTGTAGTTTCTCTAGTCGTGGCTCATGCACTACACTACAGGATGTACAAGCCTCGAGAGCAACTACAGCATGTGGCGAGGGCAACAGATATTCAAGCATCCCAAAGGGTCAAATAACTTCTGTGGCCAGGTAGCCGTGAAGCGGCAGCATTGCAATATGCTCTGCTGGAAGGTTGAGTACATTGCATTCCCCAACACGCTGTGGTTCCTCCTGCCGGATCATTTATCACTTTGGTGTCCTGTAAGGAGGAACCAGAAAGTCCAGCAGAGGAAGCAGGCAACAAACATGCCCGAAAGTATTTATTATTATTATTATTATTATTATTATACAGGATTTATATAGCGCCAACAGTTTGCTCAGCACTTTACAAAATGAAGGTAGACATCAGTTACAATAAAATTTGGTACAAGAGGAAACAGAAGGCTCTGCTCACTACAGCTTACAATCTGCCAAATGTGAAGAGTCCTCTGATGACGGAGCTGTCACTCAGCTTATCTGGTCCGGCACCCATTACTGCAAAGCCTCTCCTCTTCTTCTTTTTTTTTTTTTTTTTTTTTTTATTTGGCTACAGTGGTGAGGGGTTAGAACCATTGTCAGGTTTTCATTGCTGTCTATATAATCTTGAGAGAGATACATTTATCCTGATCATCAGTGTCATAAAAGGTAAATGTATATCCAGAACGAAGTCACCACCAGAACAGGAATACAAGGGAAATCTTCAAATGGGAACACTTGTTACTGTGACAGCTACCTAAAAGGGGATTACCCTCAAGTTGGAATAGTATCCCCCACGTTCTGTTGACTCTGCAGGACAGGAAATGAAGGAAAAATCTCTCTAATTAGACACAGATGGAAAAGAAAAAAAAAACGACGGGTTTTAACCCTCCCCCCTACTCTAAAAAAAAAAAAAATGCTGTAGATCTACTTAAACAGTACTGTACTTTGTGCTCTAAGCAGGAGACCGCCCACCTAGAGCTGGGCTTTTACAATGTATTAAATCGTTTCACAGGTATGGTTGCCAAGCATATACTTTTATCAACGATTTGTTACTGTGTGATGGCCAGTCTGATGCGCACAGTTTTTGCACTCTGCTTTCAGATTGGGATGCAGCAGCACTGGGAATTGGGACAGGCACTACGAGAGCGATACAAAGGATTCCTTAATGAATCATACAACCGACATGAGGTAAGAAATATCCCGAAAGGACAATAATATATTTACAATGACCACATACTATAACTTTTATTATATATCTGAAAAACTTTCAAGTAGATAAGACAACCTCAGCTCTGTTCCTGTGAGATGCGTAGAGGAGGGTGTGTCTCTTCCCTCCAATGAGCTCTCAGAGCTCTCCTCACTGAGCTTTGCAGTGTGTAATTTCACCTCTTCACCCCCCCCCCCCCCTTTTTTTTTTTTATTTTTTGTTTTTTTTTATTTTCTCTCTGAACTCTGACAAGCTTTATAAGTTCAGCACTTTGAATGGATGTAGAGAAGAGAAAACTGCAGATAAACGGGTACAGCTTATGTAGGAGGGTTTTTTCATCTGTGCACCACATGAGGCCAGTCACTTCACTAGGTATATCAGAACTGTTCGATTCATATCGCCTGACGCCTGGGACATATTGTTCCGGGCAGGTAGGTTTTTTTTTTTTTTTTTTCTGCCTTTAGCCCTTCTGTCCCCATTAACAGATATCGAGGCCGGGAAAGAATGTAATGCAGTGTGACATCCACTGCATTACATTCAGTATAGTACAATGAGAACCTGTCACCAGAAAATCATCACATAGGGGACTTTTTGTCCCCTATGTGATGGAAATAAAAATGTCAAGGCCCCTCCACCCCCACATATGTACAAATGTAAAAGCACACACTGGGGCGCCTATGCATGAAAAAGACTATTGCGATACACATTACTTATCGCTCTGCGCACACGCCAGAATGTGAGAATATTTCTATCACCAGACTTTACGTAACGCTAAACTGATTACCTACAGTGGGGCAAAAAAGTGTTTAGTCAGCCCACCAATTGTGGCAAATATCCACTTAAAAAGATGAGAGAGGCCTGTAATTGGCATCATAGGTAGACCTCAACTATGAGAGACAAAATGAGAAAAAAAATCCAGACAATCACAATTGGCTGATTTGGAAAGAATTATTGCTGTTATGGTGGAAAATAAGTATTTGGTCAATATCAAAATTCTGCATCTCAATACTTTGTTAATATATCAATCTTTGTTGGCAATGACCGCTAAATTATTCTCATGTTGGGTCTTCACATTTGGCACACAAAATGGTATGTTGGCCCATTCCTCCATGAAGAATCTCCTCCTAACAATGATGTTTTTTAAACGTCGTTGCAAAAAAAAAAGCACAAACTTTTCAACTCCCAGCCAAAGGGTTTCTATAGGGTTGATCAAACACCCAATGGTTAGTGCTCCAGGACACTGCAAGGTCTATCTCCTCCCTGTTAGTCCCGGGGCAGTGCAGGCGGCAGGTTTTGGGAGGGGGCGATATTGTCCACTCCCTTGCAATCATCTCATCATGTTGGAAGACCCAACAATTTCAGACTCAATGCCCTTGCTGATGGAAGGATTTTGCACTCAAAAAAATCACGATACATGGCCCCATTTAATATTGCTGTCCTTTGTACAATCAGTCGTCCCTGGTCTCTTTTAGAAACAGCCACAAAGCTTGATGTAAACCCCCATGCTTCACAGTAGGTACTAATTCTTGGATGCACCTCAGCATTTCTTCTCCTCCAATAACACGACGAGTTTTTGTGTTTCTACCAAACAGTTCTATTTTGGTTTCATCTGACCATTTGACAACTTCTCCCAATCCTCTTAGGAAGGATCATCCAAATGCTCTCTAATAAAACTTCAAATACGGGCCCGGAAAAATTGGCATAACACGTCTGGCACTTGCAGGATTGAGTAACCTAATGGCAGCAAAATAGTGTTTTAACTTCGATGTAGCCTTTGGTCATGTTATTTCCCACTTTCTTGTGCAGTGTCATATCTCCAGGTCCAAACAATCAGAAATTTTTGCTAGACCGTTCACTGACATTTTGAGATTAGCCATTCTTGCATGGAGGTATCGAGTTAGAATATCAGTGGTCTTGGGGGTTTTTTTTCTAATTATTGCTTCCCACAGTTGATTTGTTCACCTAAAAGCTGCTTGCCTATTGCAGATTCAGTCTTCCCAGCCTGGTGCAGGTCTACAATTTTGTTTCTGGTGTCCTTCGACAGCTCTTTGACTTCTTTGGAGTGTGACTGTTTTGAATTGTGGACAGGATCTTTTATAAAATAACAAGTTCAAACAGGTGCCATTGATACAGGTAATGAGTGCAGACAGAGGAACACCTTAAAGAAGAAGGTACAGGTCTGTGAGAGCCAGAAATCTGTCTTGTTTTAGGTGACCAAATACTTATTTTCCACATAATTTGCAAATAAATTCTTTCCAAATCAGCCCTTTGATTGTCTGTTTCCCTCATTTTGTCTCTCATAGTTGAGGTCTACCTATTGCCAATTACAGGCCTCTCTCATCTTTTTAAGTGGGAGAACTTGCACAATTGGTGGCTGACTAAATACAGTTATGCCCCACTGTATATGGGGCTTTTGAAAGTGTTACTAATAGAAAATATATTGGATATCTATTTACTCGATGCACAACCTAATTTTTTTTATATTTTACGAAAAGATTGGATAATTTATATGCTTTTGTGCAATAACGAGTTTATTTAGCCGAAATTCTGCATTTCCTTGATCTTTGTGATAATATCATGCAACTCATAAAAATTGGAACTATGCTATTTTATTCTCTAGGGTCTATTTCAAAAATATATCATGTTTGGGGGTTTTGTGTAATCTTCAATCCTAAAATGATTTTTTAAACGTGTGCAAAAAACACACTAAACAGCTCTGGCAGCGAAAGGGATAAAAGATAGGCTGACAAACACCCAATTGGTGTTGCTCCTTACACTGCAAGGTCTATCTCCTCCCTGTTAGTCCCCGGGTGCAGTGCAGGGAGGGGGAGGAGGCGATAAACAGTTGCAATGTTAACAATATTAGAGGTTTAATCGCCATAAAGCCATTTTTGCTTTTAAAAGCCCCAGACATTATCAGATTTAAATGCAGTTTTGGTTAAAATCAGGGTGGATTTGATTTAAATCACTAGTCTAGTAAGGCTTGATTTAAATCCTAGACATAAAGACTAATTCTTGCTGGTATAACTTTAATATACAAGTAGAAGATTTTTAGAACAACAACTTTTCATATTAGTTTTTTTATCCCCAGTTTAATAGGTTAAATCATTCATATTTGGACAACTTTTCTCTGTTGTACTTAGGAAGGAGAAAAATAATCATTACCTTAATAATAACAATTTAAATAGATTTATTCAACTGAAACAATAACATTCCAGCATATGTGATTTGCTTAAACATCCATGTTTGGTAACTAATTTGGCTAAACAAAATATATATATTTTAAGAAACTTCGACTGTCAGCCCCTTCCTCCTCACACTTAGTTTCACTTTCTTCTTGTGCAGATCTATTCCACTCCAAACAATCAGAAAAAATATTGTTTCTATTCTATTCACTGAACTTCTTGAAACTTAGCACTGAAGGGGTTGATTCTGTATTCATAGGTTTGTAGAAGTTAGGATGAAGGGCTTTTTCTTAACTCTGTTCATGTTCTAACATTTTTGCTGTGAAGAAGAGGCATGTGATCTCCGCTGAGTCAATTCAGTTTTTGAGAAATGCAAAAGTAAACCGATCATCTGTTGATAATATCTTGTAGGCAGAGAAACTGCCCAATAATCTTACAAAAACCTCTGGAAGAGCATGACATTGTGAATGGATTCATGGAATTTATTTACCAAAACAATTAAACATATACAGCCTTATTCTACATAATTAAAAAACAATCTTTATTTCATGATGGAATAACCTTTGGATGGTAATATATTTTCCTCAAAAAGCATTTTATCCATTTAAAAACATCCGATTTAAATAAAAAAAATCCAATTTTAAATCAAAAAAATCCGTTTTTTTTTTTTTTTTTTTTTAAATCATTGATTTTTATCCACCCTGGTTAAAATGTTTGTTTTTTCTTCTTAGGTCAAGTAGATTGTAATGAGGGACTAGTAGATTGAGACCCTGATTTAGCCCCGGACAAGTAGTTTTTTCAAAAATTTCTACACCCCTGATATAATGTAAGGGTTTACAAGCGTGTTAAGGATTACCACAGGTATTTGCAGGAACCACAAGCACTATATCACTGTTGTGCATTTTAGGACAAGTCTGGTTCGGTTTAAGTAAGCCTTCTTTATTATTCCTAGCACAGAAATGTGATGTTGTGGTGCTATTCATCTACCCTACTGTCTTTAATCAGATCTATGTGAGGAGTACAGATGTGGATCGGACACTAATGAGTGCTGAGTCCAACCTGGCAGGTCTGTACCCACCTGAAGGCTCCCAGGTATTCCATCCGAACCTCACCTGGCAGCCTATCCCAGTGCATACAGTTCCAGAGTCTAAAGAGCGAGTAAGTAATGATACACATGGGACTTGACAATACAGAGTACAGCCTAGCTGTATTTGATGCCGCCACTCAACCACTTTCACTTTTGTGTTTTTTGTTTGTTTTTTTAACTAGCTCCTGAAGTTTCCATTACTTCCATGTCCAAAATATATAAAACTGCAGGAGGAGACACGGCACTCCCCAGAGTATATCAACATGACAAGAGACAATTTGGTAAGATCATGGAGTGGAGGAATTATCTAAGCCAGATAAACCATCATATTTTACTGCTCATAAATTCTATATTTTTAAATAGGAATTCTTGCAAATGGTAGCAAATGAGACCGGACTGTCTGACTGCTCATTGGAATCTGTGTGGACAATCTCCGACATCCTCTTTTGTGAGGTCAGTGTACAAAATAATTTTGCTAATGTTAAAGCTGAACTCCGGGCTGAAAAAGGCCACCGAGGATATGAGTCCAATGTGTTTATACCAAGCACCTTTGTGAAACCCAGATATGACCATATTGGAGTAGTGACCTAATCACTGTGTTGTACATAGCCTGTGCAGAGCTGTAGGAAGTAGCCAGTAAGTCTACCTGGTACAGACCCCTATTGGTGTGGGGTGGAGCTGAGACCATTTACCCTGCACAAGGAGAGCAGCAATGACCGGTCTTTATTACAAGACACTCCTGCACAGAGGGAAAGTTTCACACTGTATTTCTGCACAGATCTGGAGGAAATCCATAAAGCCCACCGAGAATAAAGTAGGAATACACAATGTAGGCAATATTTGCTCATCCTGGAGTTCAGCTTTAACATTTTGCAAGTGAATACATTTCCTTGTAAAACACAACAGTGAAAATAGTTTTCTGCTGCCATTGCTATTTTAATATTGATCTTGGCTTTATTAAAGTGGTTGGTTGTAAAGGCTCAAGGTTTTTTTACCACCGTGCATTCCTAGGCAAAGCATAACCTGAGTCTCCCCTCCTGGGCAACACCAGAGGTTGTGAAACGACTTGGTGAATTGAAGAATTTCGGCTTCAGGTTTCTGTTTGGGATTATTGAACAGGAGAAGAAAGCTCGTCTACAGGGAGGTAAGCCTTAGAATTAATTTTGACCTGGCAGTTTTTTTTTGTTTTGTTTTTTTTTTTGTTTTTTTTGGCAGCAGTTGAAATCTGAACTCCGGTCAGATATGAGACAGAAATAAATGGAGCTCTGTAATCATTTGTACATAAAAGTATGTACAAAAAAAAAATGGAAAAAGCATACAGATTACAGAAGTGAGCAGAGTGACAGAGATAAGCTCCTTGGTCTGCTGCTTCTTTCACAACCCTGTCAGACAGGGACAAGTGCTGTAAATGTTTCACAACTGCATAAAAATCAGATCCTGGATTCCGTAGAAGGTATGGAGGACTCATTTGGCGCAATAAGGGGGAAGCGAAGGTTATGATAGCCTTAGATGGTAATAATCCATACAGAACACATAAAATGGTGTTGCGCTAATCTCAATAGTACTAAGGACACAATAATTCAAAGAATGGGGAGACAGAAAAAATAACCCCAAAACAGAGGTGATAAGTATAAAGGCCTGAATCCAGACCTAATTAGGTGTAATATGAACTGTGAGTAATAATCAGCAAATGACTATAAATAATACATAAAAATGTAAAGGCCTGAACCCAGACCAAAATAAGTGCAATATAGATTGTGATGAAATACAACGTGAGCAATAGTCGCCAAGTGAACATAAATAATGTATTCAACATAAAAGGACTAACACATCCTAAGTAAAAGTGCACAAAAAGCACCATGCAAAGAAAACTGTGCCAAAATCAAATGGCAAAACTAATCATACAAGGTACATGAAACTATAAATGCATCAATAATAATACATAAAAATGTTAAGGCCTGAAACCAGACTACACTAAGTGCAATATGGATTACAGTGAAATCCTTCTATGTTCCGAACATACTTGCACATCAGGCATGCAGCTTTGTGGCACTGCTACATGCCTTTTTATTGCGCAAAAGTATACTGTAGGATTTTTATTGATCTGTTGGACTTGTATTGGCTAGGGGCTGCTAAGCTTTTGACATTACGAGACTGTGGGTTTGGATGTAAGAGAGGTCTTCAAATGGGTGTCCCCGGGAAGAAATGACTAATGTTTTTTTGAATGTGTTCTATTTTTTTTTTTTTTTTTTTTTTTAACTGTGAATGAAATGCTGTAGTGAATCTGGTCGTGTACTGGAAATGGAAAAATGTTTGTCATTATTGTCAATGGGGTAATTATTTGTAAGATAGAAACAATGAGAATCATCGAGGGATTTGGGGTAGCATATATCTATAAATTTGTTTCAGTAATGTGCTCTGAGCTATGTAATCTATCTCACGAGTGCAATTGATCTGCAGACAAGAAAAACTGACTTTTGTGTATATTGGAGATCCATCTGGATCCATCATGCTTGTTTTCATCTGTGAGTGTATTTATCTTTGACCATTAAAGCTGTTTTACTTGCTTATGCTCCCTCCACCCCCCACTTAGATTCCATAGAAGGACCTTTCTCTTCAAGTTTGCCTCACTTTGGCTTTGGCCCTAGATTTTGCATGTGGGTCACTGTTATGTATGCCCATCCACACTCCAATATATTTAAATGGTTTGCTATCCCCCTCATTGCAGCTGCACAGAGGTACCCGACTAAGGTGCCCATTATCCCCACTCCTTTTTAATGACTGTTAGGATTCCCCAACTGGATAGATTTAGGGGAATCACCTTGGGAAGTAGAACAGACCACATGAGTCTATACAGAATAGAGGGTGCAGGATTACAGATTATAAAGGTGAATACATTTATTGGAATAAAAACCATGGCACACTCACACTGGAGAAGCTCATTTCCATCACAGATGACATTACCAGAGCAACAATGTAATACCAGCCAAAGGTAGCCTGCTGCACAGGAAGGCTTAAGGAGGCAGCTGCTGTGATCTGGCTAGGCTCGCTAGACCTGTTGTGTGGCTTTCAAAGCTTGGCGTCTGCAGCTTCTCTGGGAGCTCCTAGGGCAATGGCAATATGTGAGGTCAGACAACTAGTTTTAAGGTAACACCCCGTGTACAACTTCTGTGAATGGAGGAGCTGGGCAGAAAGGACGGGCATAGCCAGGCAATTTTATGACGTGCCTGTCTCGGCTCTCTCCATGCTATTAACCTCCACCACCCTGGAGGTGGCTTTAAGCGAAGTCATTCCTCATAGCTCACTGAGCCTGTAATTTTTGTGTTTTTCTTTTTTTTTTTTTTTCTTTTTAGGAGTCCTGGTGGCACAAATCCTGAAAAATATAACGGCAGCCGCACACAATTCCACTGGTGGCCTTAAGCTCATTGCATACTCCTCTGTAAGTTTTATAATGGCAATGCATGGTACCTTTTTTTTTTCTTTTTGTTTTACTGTGCGTGTATGTGTGTGTATATTTATGTATGTGTGTGTACACACACACACACACACACACACACACGCACAAAAGTATTTAGTCAGCCACCAATTGTGCAAGTTCTCCCACTTAAAAAGGTGAGAGAGGCCTGTCATTCGCATCATAGGTAGACCTCAACTATGAGAGACAAAATGAGAAAAATATCCAGACAATCATATTGGCTGATTTGGAAAGAATTTATTTGCAAATTATGGTGGAAAATAAGTATTTGGTCACCTACAAAACAAGCTAGATTTCTGGCTCTCACAGACCTGTACCTTCTTCTTTAAGAGGCTCCTCTGTCCTGCACTCATTGCCTGTATCAATGGCACCTGTTTGAACTTGTTATCAGTATAAAAGACACCTGTCCACAACCTCAAACAGTAACACTCCAAACCCCACTATGGTTAAGACCAAAGAGCTGTTGAAGGACACCAGAAACATAATTGTAGACCTGCACCAGGCTGGGAAGACTGAATCTGCAATAGGCAAGCAGCTTGGTGTGAACAAATCAACTGTGGGAGCAATAATTAGAAAATGGAAGACATACAAGACCACTGATAATCTCCCTTGATCTGGGGCTCCAAGCAAGATCTCACCCCGTGGGGCCAAAATGATCACAAGAACGGTGAGCAAAAATCCCAGGACCACACGGGGGACCTAGTGAATGACCTGCAGAGAGCTGGGACCAACGTAACAAAGGCTACCATCAGTAAAGCACTACGCCGCCAGGGACTCAGATCCTGCAGTGCCAGATGTGTCCCCCTGCTTAAGCCAGTACATGTCCGGGCCCGTCTGAAGTTTGCTAGAGAGCATTTGGATGATCCAGAAGAGGATTGGGAGAATGTCATATGGTCAGATGAAACCAAAATTGAACGGTTTTGGTAGAAACCCAACTCGTTGTTTTTGGAGGAGAGAGAATGCTGAGTTGCATCCAAAGAACACCATACCTACTGTGAAGCATGGGGGTGGCAACATCATGCTTTGTGGCTGTTTCTCCGCAAAGGGACCAGGACGACTGATCCATGTACAGAACAGAATGAATGGGGCCATGTATCGTGAGATTTTGAGTGCAAACCCCCTTCCATCAGCAAGGGCATTGAAGATGAAACGTGGCTGGGTCTTCCAACATGACAATGATCCCAAACATACCGCCCGGGCAACAAAGGAGTGGCTTCGTAAGAAGCATTTCAAGGTCCTGGAGTGGCCTAGCCAGTCTCCAGATCTCAACCCCATAGAAAACCTTTGGAGGGAGTTGAAAGTCCGTGTTGCCCAGCGACAGCCCCAAAACATCACTGCTCTAGAGGAGATCTGCATGGAGGAATGGGCCAACATACCAGCAACAGTGTGTGCCAACCTTGTGAAGACTTACAGGAAACGTTTGACCTCTGTCATTGCCAACAAAGGATATATAACAAAGTATTGAGATGAACTTTTGATATTGACCAAATACTTATTTTCCACCATAATTTGCAAATAAATTCTTTCCAAATCAACCAATGTGATTGTCTGGATTTCTTTTCTCATTTTGTCTCTCATAGTTGAGGTCTACCTATGATGCCAATTACAGGCCTCTCTCATCTTTTTAAGTGGGAGAACTTGCACAAATGGTGGCTGACTAAATACTTTTTTGCCCCACTGTACATGAACGTTATAGCGTTTACAAATGTAAATGTTACTAGTAATGGCTATCAGCGACTTATAGTGGGACTGCGGCAGGCATTCTGACATTGGGGGGAACTGATTTGGTGTCACTGACATCCCCAGTGACACCAATACAGTGATCAGTGCTAATAAAAAGCACTGACACTACTAATGGCACTGGGCAGTAAGAGGTTAACATTTGGGGAGATCAAAGGGATAACTGTGTGCTGTTTCACATTATGTGCTGTGTGTGTGCATCACTGTAAGCACACTGGTTTGTATGGCTCTGCTATGCACAGCCATGCAAAGCAGTGTGCAGGAGCTGGCAGTGGAGAGAACTGTATTGTTTACATACAGTTCTCTCCCACAATCAGTATTGCTCGACCATCACTGGGTGCTGGCGAGTAATCACCGGCTGGGACTGTGATTGACAGCCAAGGCCATGAATGGCGGCTAGGGTAGGGCATGCGTGTGGCTAGCGCGCCCCCTATCCAGAACTGCAAAATCACGTGTATTTGTGATTTTGCACACCTGTGTCGCCCTGTAGCTGTATTTCTGCTATAGGGCGGACGGTAAGCGGTTATTGCCTGGCAGTGAATTTTATACTCATTTGTTATGCCTACAGATAGATGCTGACCTAGGAACCCTGATTTTGTAGCTCTTTCTTACTGCCAGGCAAACCAGTATGCTGATATCTGTCCTAAATGGAAATCTGTTTTTGGTAAAGGGATCTTTTCAACTCCATACCAGACAAACACAATGGAAGAAAAAAAAAAGTGTCTATAAATATGCTTAATTTTCCACTTCCCTTTTCTGTTTTAGCATGACACCACACTGGGTGCTTTACAGATGGCTCTGGATGTCTACAATGGGAAACAGGCTCCATATGCATCGTGCCATATATTCGAGCTGTATGAAGAGAACTCTGGGTATAAACACAAGTGTTTTTTATCCTTTGTGTGTGTTGTGTCACTAAACCAAGTACAAAAAACCTATTCAGTACCTTCATCTGATGTCATCTTTCCACATTGTAATAGTATCAGACAGCACATCCAGAAAATGCTGTGCTGAAACTTCCATTATGAGGTTAGCTACGTTCAACCTTCATGGTGTCACTGTATGTGGGAACGTAGCCACCTTCCTCCCACGATGGACTACAGTAGTACATGACAGCCAGCATCGTCACTTAAAACCACAAAAAAATCTCCCACTTTAAAAATTGCCACCCGTACTGCATTGCCCATGGGTTTCTGGAGTGATCAGAAGATTCCAGCATGAATTACTGGAAATTGGGAATGCCCACACAATGATGCCTGGGATTTGTAGGAGGAGAGCATGTTACCACAATGTTTGCGCACTGCTAGTCAAAACCCGTTGAGGGTAAACATTCTTTGTGAATAGCGCCGGGGAGAACACAGTGAGGATGTAAAACCTTTGTAAACATTATTTGCGGATTCAAATAGTGGTGATGTTCAGGATATTTATTTTTTTAGACGGAGGGGAGTTTAGTGACAGTTTAAGTAGTAAGTAGTTTGGCTGTTATACATTGTCATAGATGGTGGATATTGGACACCAGTCAGCTTCCAGCCTAACTGAACAAGCTGAGGTTAGAACAGTGGTTCTCAACCTGTGGGTGGCGATCCCTTTGGGGGTCGAACGACCCTTTCACAGGGGTCACCTAAGACCATCGGAAAACACATATTTCTGATGGTCTTAGGAACTGAGACACAGCTTCTCTATCCGTCTCCAGGCGGGTCCACCCACATGCAGACACGCCCACATACGAGTACCCGGTGTGATGACATCATTGCGCCAACCCCATCACATACACCCCATACAAATACAGGTGTATGTGACAGGGATGGCGCAATAATGTACTTATCTGGACCAGTCACACACGTGTAAAGCGCAGCTACTGTGTAGAAAGCGGCTACTCTGTTAAAGCAGCAGTATTGGAGGTAAAACGACACTCATGACTTATAATTACTGGATAAATAATTTTATGGTTGGGGGGGGTCACCACAACATGAGGAACTGTATTAAAGGGTCACAGCATTAGGAAGGTTGAGAACCACTGGGTTAGAGGCTGATGGTTATTATGCAGTAGTGAGCCAGATTTTGCTCTCTCCAGCTTTAGTAAATAAACCCCCATAGGTCATAGATGTGATACTTATTAGATTCAGTTCAACATTGTCCTGACTCACCTCTCTTGCAGTTACCTCTCTTGAGGGTACTAGTTTAGTAACCCCCTAGATCTGCTGATGGAGGGAACCCCAGTTTGCCCCCTTTATTTTAATACCCTGATCCTCCCACCCTCAGGTTAATGTGCTCGCCCTATTTTTACTGTCTTGTATCTTCCACTTTGAAGGCTGCGACTTCTTCTTCCATGTCTACAGATTCCAAACTGCCAACATAGATTTGTGCTTGTCCAAAAGCCTAAAGCATATTTTATTTGATTATTTATTACAGGTATTTATATAGTGCCGTCAATTTACGCAGGGCTTTACATACATATTGTACATTCACATCACTCCCTAACCCTCAAGGGGCGTACAATCTAAGGTCCCTAACTCACATTCATACATACACAAACTAGGGCCAATTTAGACAGGAGCCAATTAACCTACCAGCATGTCTTTGGAGTGTGGGAGGAAACCCACGCATGCACAGGGAAAAATGCAACATCCACCCAGGTAGTGCTGTGATAGGGATTCGAACCAATGACCCTAGTGCTTCTAGGTAGAAGTGCTAACCACTAATCAGTGCTGGCCACTGTATGTATGAGGCTACAGTCAGGACAGCTGCTTGCTGACATAGCTAAGGTACCCATCCAGTGCAGGGCAGGCATGTCACTGTGTGTGTGTGATGCTGAATAGGTATGCTTTTTCCCAGGGCAAGCACTGTTTCAGCCATCTCACAGGTTCTGTTGCTTCTGTGAATTTTACCTCTCCCCACTAGAGGTAGTTCTTTACCCACATCCTCATCAGAAGTTTCACCTTCAAACAAGCCTCAATGTATTACATAGTTAGTCTGGCTGAAAAAAGACAAAAGTCCATCCAGTTCAACCATCAAGAAAAAAAAAGTTATCCTTATACCTGCAGTTGATCCAGAGGAAGGCAAACAAAAACGCAAAGCATGATCCAATTTGCTCCTGTAGGGAAAAAAAAATTCCTTCCTGATCCCCCGAGAGGCAATCGGATATTCCCTGGATCAACCTTACCTTTGTTCGTATTCAGTTATATTCTGTGTATCTAAGAAAGAATCCAGGACTTTTTTAAAGCAATCCACTGAGCTGGCCTCTTGAGGGAGTCTATTCCACATTTTCACAGCTCTTACTGTGAAGAAACCTTTCTGTGTTTGGAGATTAATTTTCTTTTGCTCCAGATGTTAAAGAGTGCCCCCTTGTCCTCTGTGATGACCTCAGGGAGGATAACTACACTGAGTTCACTATATGAACCACTGATGTATTATACATGTTGATCATTTCCCCCCTTATGTATTATACATGGTGATCATATCCCCCCTTATGTATTATACATGGAGATCATATCCCCCCTTATGTATTATACATGGTGATCATATCCCCCCTTATGTATTATACATGGAGATTATATCCCCCCTTATGTATTTCATATACATGGAGATCATATCCCCCCTTATGTATTATACATGGAGATCATATCCCCCCTTATGTATTATACATGGAGATCATATCCCCCCTTATGTATTATACATGGAGGTCATATATCCCCCCCTTATGTATTATACATGGAGATCATATCCCCCCTTATGTATTATACATGGAGATCATATCCCCCCTTATGTATTATACATGGAGATCATATCCCCCCTTATGTATTATACATGGAGATCATATCCCCCTTATGTATTCTATACATGGAGATCATATCCCCCCCTTATTTATTATACATGGTGATCATATCCCCCCTTATGTATTATACATGGAGATCATATCCCCCCTTATGTATTATACATGGAGATCATATCCCCCCCTTATGTAGTATACATGGTGATCATATCCCCCCTATGTATTATACATGGAGATCATATCCCCCCTATGTATTATACATGGTCCATATCCCCCCTTATGTATTATACATGGAGATCATATCCCCCCCTTATGTATTATAGATGGTGATCATATTCCCCCTTATGTATTTATACATGGAGATCATATCCCCCCTTATGTATTATACATGGAGATCATATCCCCCCTTATGTATTATACATGGAGATCATATCCCCCCTTATAGTATTATACATGGTGATCATATCCTCCCTTATGTATTATACATGGAGATTCATATCCCCCTTATGTATTATACATGGTGATCAATATCCCCCCTTATGTATTATACATGGTGATCATATCCCCCTTATGTATTATACATGGAGATCATATCCCCCCTTATGTATTATACATGGAGATCATATCCCCCCCCTTATGTAGTATACATGGTGATCATATCCCCCCTATGTATTACATGGAGATCATATCCCCCCTATGTATTATACATGGTCATCATATCCCCCTTATGTATTATACATGGAGATCATATCCCCCCCTTATGTATTATAGATGGTGATTATCCCCCCTTATGTATTATACATGGAGATCATATCCCCCCCTTATGTATTATTACATGGTGATCATATCTCCCCTTATGTATTATATACATGGAGATCATATCCCCCCTTATGTATTATACATGGAGATTCATATCCCCCCTTATGTATTATACATGGAGATTCATATCCCCCCTTATGTATTATACATGGAGATCATATCCCCCCTTATGTATTATAACATGGTGATCCTATCCCCCCTTATTATGTATTATACATGGTGATCCTATCCCCCCTTATGTATTATACATGGAGATCATATCCCCCCTTATGTATTATACATGGTGATCATATCCCCCCTTATGTATTATACATGGAGATCATATCCCCCCTTATGTATTATACATGGAGATCATATCCCCCTTATGTATTATACATGGAGATCATATCCCCCCTTATGTATTATACATGGAGATCATATCCCCCCTTATGTATTATACATGGAGATCATATTATTATTATACAGTATTTATTAAAGCGCCAATAGTTTGCTCAGCGCTGTACATTACAAAGGGGGACAGAACATGTGACAGAACAATACCAATACAATGCAAAACATGAGGGGATTGAGGGCCCTGCTCTTTCGAGCTTATCCCCCACTTATGTATTATACATGGTGATCATATCCCCCCTTATGTATTATACATGGTGATCATATCCCCCCTTATGTATTATACATGGTGATCATATCCCCCTTATGTATTATACATGGTGATCATATCCCCCCTTATGTATTATACATGGTGATCATATCCCCCTTATGTATTATACATGGAGATCATATCCCCCCCTTATGTATTATACATGGAGATCATATCCCCCCCTTATGTATTATTTACATGGAGATCATATCCCCCCTTATGTATTATACATGGAGATCATATCCCCCTTATGTATTATACATGGTGATCATATCCCCCTTATGTATTATACATGGTGATCATATCCCCCCTTATGTATTATACATGGTGATCATATCCCCCTTAATCTCCTCTTCTCAAGAGAGAATAAATTCAGCTCCTCTAATCTTTCCTCATAGCTGATCTCCTCCATGCCTCTTATCAGTTTGGTTGCCCTTCTCTGTACTTTCTCCAGTTCCCCAATGTTCTTTTTGTGAATTGGTGCTCAAAAACTGAACTGCATATTCCAGATGAGGTCTTACTAATGATTTGTACCGGGGTAATATGATATCACTCTCTCTGGAGTCTATACCTCTTCTAATACAAGAGAGGATTTTGCTCGCTTTAGAAACCGCAGCTTGGCATTGCATGCCATTATTAAGCCTGTGATCTACCAGAACCCCCAGATCCTTCTCCACCATAGATTCCCCCAGTTGTACCCCCCTAGTATGTATGATGCATGCGTATTCTTAGCCCCCAAGTGCAGAAACCTTACATTTATCACATTAAACCTCATTGCTACATAGTTGCCCAATTAAACAGAGCATTGACTTAATGTAATTGACAAGAGGTTAACCTGCTTCCTGAATGGTGACTGCTGGAAGATGGTTGGTTATTGTAAATCTACCATGCTAGTAGTACTACCACTGAACTACCACTGCTGATCTCTTGACTAGTTGTTATACTGGGCCTTTTGGCTTCATGATGGCATTTTTTGTTTCTTGACAATACTTAGTAGCTGACACCTGGAACGAGCGTGCTGAGCACAGAGGTCAGAATAAAGTTTGACACCATTACCAATGTATTTAGTCTTACTCAGCGGCTTGGTTTTGAAATCAGAGGTTCAGCATGACCGCCTAGCAACTAGAATTTTTGAGATCGGAGTGGCAACTTTGAAGTTTACTTTGTCATATGTTGCATTATTTCGTCTGTCTTGGTTCCACTTCTGTCATTCTTTCTGTAATTTTTTTGTTTTTCTTTTCTGTATCTTGCCGTTTTACATCACAGGAACTTTACGGTGGAGATGTACTTCAGAAATGACAGCCACCACCCACCTTACCCATTAACGCTCCCAGGCTGTGTACACAGCTGCCCCCTAGACAAGTTCCACGATTTGTTACAGGCGGTGATCACGAAGGACTGGGAGAAAGAATGTCAGCTCTCTAGCTCAACCAAAGACACGGGTGAGTGACACCACAAACTAAGAATACACGGCTTGACCGCTCAATAAAAGGCAAAAAAAGCTCCATTTACAAAGCTTTAATACAAAAATAAGGACACTTATCCTGGTGTGTTCAGCTTTGTGAACTGAGATTAGATACTTTTCTCTTTGTTTATTTAGCATGCTAGTGTTCACAAATTGAAGGTATAGAGGGGGTGGCAAAAAATGCTTACCGATTTAATATCAAAGAAGACTTAAAGCTGAACTCTAAACAGCTAAATACACTTGAGGTACCTATATGGGTTACAAGTGAAATATTCTGGTTTTAGAGACATGTTGGTCTATTGCAGTTATACGCTTTTTTTTTTTTTTTTTTTTTTCCTTTTTTTTCCTTTTTTCAGGAGGGTCATTCTATTCATTGTGGTGGTTACCAAAACAGTTTTTGAAGAATGCTTCCCTCATGCAGACATTATATGGAAAATCCTCTGATCTAGTAGTTAGGAACTTTATTGCCTTATGTGGATTCCTGATTGCCAGATACTATTAGCTCTGGAGACGCCGAATGTTTTTTTAATTCAGTGGTTTTATAAAGATTTGTTTACCATGTCTCTGTCTAACCTCAATATGATCCATGTGATCAAATAAAACTTGCTTGTTAAACTTATTACATTACTCCGCTTGGATTTTCTAATAACCACTTTGTGAGCAGTGTTGCACTTGTCATGCTGCTATGTTTTATGTAAAGTTTTTGGGTTTATAAATCCACACTAATTATTAGTGAGACGGAGATATTTATATGACACATATCTACGTGTCATGTTAGGTGGCTACCCCCTTCTTTTTTCCTATACGCTTAGCTTGAGCACTTTCCTCCCCCAGAGTGAGATTGGGAGATGGAGAGAGGCATCTGTTGATTAGCCCATCACTATGCTTTTTCCTGCTGTCAGTCTGTACACATACAGTATGCACTGTTGGAGAGCCTGACTGGCTCTTAGTGCTGGCCATTTCTATTTCCAGTCTTATGCTAGCCATACACTAGTCAAAAAATCATTTCAATGTGTTTTAAAAAAAAAAAAAAACTTGGTTGTGAGAGCAAGCAATATTCCCATCATGTAATGACTGATTTTTCGAACAATAAATCACTTGTTTTGTTACATATTCAAAGCACAAACAAATTTTTAAGGGCAAGAAAAACCTTAATCTTTCAGTTTATCGTTTTGTTCGGCAGAAGTTTTCTAACTTTCTTAGACTTTTTTTGGCTCAAAGTCGATTTGTGCCGCTTAACCACTTCCGTCCGGCCCATGTACATAAACGACCGGATGGGAGCAGTGCAGGAGCGGGTTGCCGTTCATAAACGGAGCCTGCATATACAGCCTGTGCGCACTCCCTAGGAGTGCGTGGCACCACAATCCGATGCCCGCTGTGTCTTCCAGACACAGAGGAACACTGATCGCTGTACAGGACCTCTGTGTGACGTCCTGATCATGTGATAACTGATTGGCCTGTCAGTGATCAAATGAAAAGTAGTAAGTAAGTTGTCACTTGCTGACCTCATTGCTTACTACTAGTGAAATCTGCGAATGATCACAGAGGTCACAAGGTATAAGGCTATTCACAACAGCCTTGTACCGTGTGACAAGCTGTGACCAATCACAGCTCACTCAGTATTTCTCAATGGCTGCAAGAATGCAGTCAGAGAGAAGGAGAAATTATTGCTTTTACAGCCTTTATGGGTGTAAAAGCAATCGGTGTAAAAAACAAAAATCTTTAGCATCCCCCCACAAGTAGTACAGTATCACCATGGTGACACTGTACTGCTAGGATGACAGTATGTTAAAAAAAAAATTAATATATAAAAATGTAAAAAAAAAAACTTTTCTTTTTTGAGAAGAGATCACAAAAAGATGCTTTAATCAGATAAGTGCAAAATAAAGACACGGACACAAGCACTATCGCATGGACTGTATTTATTGAAGGACTCACATTACTAGTTTTATTTTATGTACAATATTTTTATTATTGTTTTGTATTGGATCAACTGTGGGTATAGGATCTTTTTTTTTTTTTTTTTTCTTTTTCCTGTGGTTGAACTGGATAACTGGATGAACTTTTGTCTTTTTTTTTTTTTTTTTTTTTCAGCCAGACTAACTATGTATGTATTTGCACTGGGTAGCAATGCTGTGATTATAGCACAGCACTGGTTTAATATTTCAATATCGGTGAACAAATATGGGAACACTACACAATATAGTGTCAGTGTATGATTCACACATTCAGATTAGTAGGTAGCACATGATTGCACTAAAGGTGTTTTTTTGTTTTTGTGGGTTTTTTTTTTTGGTTGCGTCTTTTTTTACATTGGTATGCTATATTATAAGTTCCACAGTGAGTGAGAATCTGATTATCTATGCATGCTGTTCTTCTTTTTTTTTTTTTTCCTTTCAGAAGTCATTATCGCATTGGTCGCCTGTGGATGTATCCTCTTTCTGCTCATCGTCCTCTTGCTCACAGTTCTCCTCCGACAGAATTCACAAACAATTGGCTATCAGCATGTTTCAGATATGGGGGAGGAACACAGCTGATGGATAGGCAGTGCTCTGCTCTAGTACCCGTGGCCTTTCTGCCTCTCAATCCTGATGATCCAGTGACCATGAGAGGAAACTGAAGGATTCTTCTTTTAAGCAGAATTTTAATATTTACAAGATTTTAGGCTCTGGATCAACAAAATACGTTGATTTTTACTTTTAAAGACTGATAATGGGAACAAGACAATGCAATGAATAGGATGGACATCAGATGTGTGCAGATAATTGTATCATGCTAAGTGAGATGTTCAGGATGATTCTAATGCCTCGCCTGTCCTTGTGTAGAGTACACTGTGGGTGTATTGTAGTCCCCAGGCCGCTATTCTAAGGAGATTAATCTGTCGGTTTTCTTTTACTTCTTTGTGCTGACTGCAGAAGAGGAAGGTACAAGGCTTGATGCATCTGTGAGCAGCACAGACATAATCACTCGATCATGAATACCGTTGATGTGGTGTCTCTCATATTCTTGCACTCATTTGCAAAATCTTGAACAAGGGAATATGGTGGTGCTGCAATAGGTAAACTTGACTTTTATTATATATACAGCTGGAATCCGATCAGCTGCTTCTGATCACAGCTGCAATTCCTGGGATATCTTCCCTGACGGCACCCTTGACCTCAGAGATGATCCTGCTTGCCTAGTCGTGAAGGACTTTTGAGGGTTTTAAGAAGCTTGGTCTGTGTTTTCTGGCCCCAAGACTGACTCTTGAGATCTGCTTCCAATTCATATTTACCTGTTCTGCTGCCCATGCTGACTTGTTTTGAAGAGATAACTTGCTGAAGAGTCTCCAGCATCCTGCACACTTCAGGTGTCAGATGCTTAATTCCCTGCTGTGTTCCTTTTTGCAGGCTATTACGCCATTACTGCCTCCTGTACTGGTTTAAAGGCCAGCAGATGAAACCACAGCAGATTTTCAGCAGGTTTATGTCTTAGAGACAGCAGCACGATAGGTAAGTATTGTTTTCTTTAGATTGAGTGAGTGCTTTTATTTAGCTTTTTTTAAATGTTGAGCCGCTTAAATGGTGTCTGAAGGAACATAACCTGGAAATGATTTTCTAAAAATCTTCCAAAACACACACACTGGTTAAATCCCGTTATATATGTTTGTGGCCTTTGTCACATCTCTATCTTGAGGCTTAGGAAAAAGTAAGAAGAGAGCTGGGCATAGGTGTTGATTCCTCTTAGCTGAAAGATGTTGTCATGGAAGAGTTCTAGAAGTGCAATCAGGGGTAGGTCTAAGCTGAAAGATGTTGTCATGGAAGAGTTCTAGAAGTGCAATCAGGGGTAGGTCTAATCTGTTATTTCTCTTTCTCCAGTTTTATTATTTATGACCTCATGTCCTTTTCTGATATGTTGCAAACCATGCAATGGACCTATCTAGTGGTAAAGAATATTGTGGTGTTTATCCATGGTAGTCGTTTATAGACCAGCTGTATATCTGTCCTGCCCAGGTAACACTGCTCCTTTTTACTCGCTTTTTGTATTTTTTAAATGTCTCAATGTGTGTTTTTTAGCTATTTTAGACTTGCACTGTTTTTTTTTTATCCCATTGCCAGATTCTTGAATAACTTCATTTAAAGTATAACTAAAGGCAAAAGTTTTTTTTTTTTTTTTTTTGGACAAAGTGGAGAGGGATTAGAACACCTGTTAGGTTGTTTTTTTTTTTTTATTGCTGTCTGTGCCCCCATTAGGGAGATTTGCCCTCTCTCTTTGTCCTGTTTACCATTCTCATCAAAATTGAAAGTAAAAAACCCCCAAATTTTGGATTGGTCTCCGAACAGTAATATACGGGTAAATATTACAATGGGGGCACTAGTTCTGGTGACCTGGGGGGGGGGGGGGTCCCCAAGGAATTCCCTTAATTTGCAGAGATTTTCTCACTTTCTGTTTTTTGGCTATGGGACAGTAAATGAAGGTAAATCTCCCCAATGGGACACAGATGGCAAAACTGACAGGGTTATAACCCTCCTTTGCTCTATCCAAAATGTGTGTATGTGTGGGGGGTTGCCTATAGTTCTACTTTGTGTACTGTTGGCATTATGATCATGTATTGGGTTCATTTGCATATTCATTTTAGTTGAAAATTGTTCATCCCTGTCACCTGGAGTGATGAAAGGAAGGTAATATGTGAACAGACTGTTTCAGCTAATTTTTCAATAGCAGTAATATTACATCACCTGGAGGCAGTGTATGATGATAATGAAGTGATAGCCTGTGCCTTGGTTCACCTGTGACTGTCTTCATTGTGCATTGGTGACCGGTACACCTTAAAGGGTTAATCTGGCCAGAACTGATTATTTTGGGTATGTGATGAGCAGAATCATCCACTGTTGTCTTGATCATAGTAGCTAGATCCAAGCAATAATACTGGTTTTAGTAATTGCTGGAATTTTATCTTTACCACAGCTATAAGGGTACATGCACACAGCCGTATCTGGCCATAAAGTGTACATTCTGGCATTTTGTTTCCCCACCAGGGAGGGCACAAGTGCTGCATACAATCACTATATAGAAGTCAACGGCTGTTCGCAGTTGTACACAAATAATTGTGTAAATATGTGTATGGGCGTACAACTCTCACACCAGTACACAGTGACGTGTTTACTCAAGTAGCAGCGTATAACTGCACACAGTCATCAATTGCTATGGCTGGTTACATTCAACCCCTTTGGACTCCCTGCTGAGGACACGAATCAGAATTTGCGGTATTCGGTTAGATTTGGCCACGTACAAGTACCCCATTCTGTTTAGTTACTAAGGGGAACACGTACACTTTCCCGCTTCAGAGAGTACCAGTACCCTTCCATAGGTCCACCAAGTGGAACACAATCTGCAGTAACCTTTACTTCTGTAAAAATTGTTATTTTAAAGATGTTGGCTTATTTTGCACATTACCCTAACTTTTTTCAATGTTTCCATTGTCTTTAATCTTTGTCAAATGACCAAAATTGAATGTGACATTTAAGAAATAAATTGGAAGGTGATAATTAAATATGCTTGTTTTGTAGTAATATCTTGTTATTGTCAAAGGGTAGAATTGGAGAGGAATACTGATTTTGTAGGCCATCAAGACTCCTAGAAATAATGTATATGTGAAGGCCACCCATTTTTAATTTTTGATAGAGTATAGAAAAAGTTAAACTGCACACAACAGGAAGGTAAAGAAAACCTTTACAAAGCAAGGGGAAAATTCCCCTCCCGTAACAGAAAATATTCCTATTCCTGTTCTGCTGATAACTTGAAATGTTGAATTTTCCTCTCTTCCAGTCCTGGTGTGAATGGTTGCCAGTACAGAGAATGTAAATCTGCCAAACAGGGTTAGAGAGCACATTAAAAAAACAGAGAGGGATTCTAACCCCTCACTGCTTTGTCAGAATCAGAAATGGGGAACACCAGATGTCCCTTGGCCCTGTCCAGATGGATGTATGCATTCCCTCCACTGCAGATTCAACCTCAGATACTCTGCAAAATTGAGGACGAATAGATTCTGGTGATCCTCATTGCTCTGAATTGGCTGCAGGAGAACTTGCTATACAGATGTTTAGCAGATGAGCCTTGGCCTTCACCAAACAGGCCAGACCTCCTGGCACAGGGTCCACTGTTCCACCCCGATTTATTGGCATAGCAGTCGAAACCCAGGTTTTAAAGGACAGGCGCATCCATGACAATGGCATTCCCATCTTTCTCAAGGTGAGAAAATCTTTTTTTTTTTTTTTTTTTGGCTGGTGTGAAAGCAAGCGCCTTAATGCCCAGGAAAGGAAAAAAAAATCTATCCCTCTCATTCTGGTCATCCTCCTCTAATATGGACCAGCATCTAGTTTTAGTACTCTAATGGATGAGGTTTCTGCTTTGTACACTCTTCAAGTAATTTCTACAAGAAATTGCTCGTGTTAATCCCCCACCTTCAAGCATCCATTTCACAGGTTTGCAAGGCAGTCTCCCGGCCTTCTGTTTATACTTTCTCAAAGTTTTACCGTGTAGATCTTCAGGCCTCTGCTGATGCAAGCTTCAATGGCAAGCAATCATGAGTGTTTCAGGTCTGCTGCCTCTTGGTTTTTGTCATCCTGTTTGCTGCCCACCTTCCTTTTTTTTTTTTTTTTTTTTTTTTCTTTTCTTTTTTGCTTGTGGAAGTCCCCTGTTCTATGTTCTTCCTGTCCAATTAAGATAATAGGAATTTGGACTTCTAAGTAAATCTTGGCGCACAGTTCATGACACGCAGGTCCATTCCCTTCTGTCTCTTTATTGCTTGCTATGAAACTGGGGTCCTAAGGACTGGTGAAGGTTATAAGAGGGTGCTTTGGGGGTGTTCCCAGCAAAGCTTTTACCAGTGCCCAATTATCGGAAGGGAGCAGCAAATAGGCTCCATGGCCTATGATTTCCTGTTCAATACATTTTCATATCTTGAGTACAGTACAGAAGTCAAAAGTCCAATTTTTTTTTTTTTTTTTTTTGCTGCAGTAACAAATAAGAAAAAAAATGAATGGTGGGCATGATTGAGAGAGGGAGGGTTTGGGGTCAATTTGAATAATTCCTAGACATACACTTAAGAGTAAGGATCTGTTAAGTATGGCCATAGATTTACTTTAGAGTGTTTTTAATAAAATGTTTGTTATACTTTAAACACACCCCCACTACTTATGACATTAGCAGATCATGCTAATATAATCAAAGAGCTCCAAACGGATGTTTTGTATCCTCAGTTCAAAATGGAGGGCAAGGTTGTACAATTCCACACATCTACCTTTTGACTATAATGACTTTGTCATAGATCTGTGTTTAAATTGTATCTAATATTTGTGGTAATGTACCGTATTTGCCGGCGTATAAGACGACCCCCAACATTTCCACTCAAAATATAGAGTTTGTTATATACTCGCCGTATAAGACTACCCCCCTCTTCCGCACACCTTCCACACACCAAATAAAACGTAAAAGAACATCAGATTTGATTTCAACATCTTAATTTATATTCGCAGTATACCCCTGTGTGCATTTATTGTTACCGGTTTCACATGAGTGCCATTAGTATTAGTGCCACTACAGTACCTGTCATTGTCACCATTGTACGCGACCGCAGCGCCTCCGGCCAGTCCCTGCATCTCCCTGTAATTGGCACTAGTGCGCATGTGCGAGCTCTGCATAGACAAGGGGCGGGCCAGAGCGCCGCTGCTTCCCGCGAGGAGAAAAGGCTGGCACCCCTGTATCGCTGCTGATGCTCGCCGCAGCCACGCTGATGACCCGCTGCGGCTGCACTGGATGGTATGTAGAATGAGGTGGGCGGGCGGGCATCGGGAGGCCACTATGGCAGCTATATCTATCCCAACTGAAGTGCACCCGGCGTATAAGACGACCCCCCCCCACTTGGAGGCATGTTTTTCAGGGCAAAAAAGTCATCTTATACGCCGGCAAATACGGTAGGTTGTTTTTTTTTGTGTGTTTTTTGTATGAATTTCAGTTCTTCTACAATGCAAATTTTATGCATGCCCTGCAATGGAATTTTCATCTTTCCTGGAGAAAAAAAATGCAATTGAAGTTTAAGCATACTATACAAACAGTACAAAAGAAAAAAAACATTTATTCAAGCTGAGTTTACCAAGCAAACATTATATACACTGCTGGGTCCACACATTTCTAAACATAATAGCATGAATACATATATACAAGGTGCTGCTCTATATATGTTTCTTGAAGAGCCTATAGTGCCTTCCTTTAAATGCAGACTGTGAAATCCATCCAACAATGGCTCCACCCCGGTACTGCTCAAGTGCAAAGTACTGCAAGAGAATCCCAGCAAAGAAGACATGGCTATTTTTTTTTTTTTTTTTTTGCCCCATTTTCACATATTGGTCCCAGGTAGAAAATGGCAGCTGTTGACTCAATCAGGTTTAAATTACTTGTTTTTTAAGAAGCAACTTCTCTGGTTCCTTTCCTCCTCCTTACAAAGCAAATACTGCATTGATTGGATTTTCTATCATTCCCACTACTCAGCTCTTGGAATCAGCTTACTGTCTGTTGTACAAGTCCGCACCACGCTTGAGATCAAATTATACACATACCCCTCAATGGTTTTAGTTTTTTTTTTTTCTTTGTGCACTGAGAAATGCATCTTGAATTTTAGACAGATTCTGTGGGGGGGTCAGCATTTTAATTAACAACATGGGGACTAAAGAGATATGATTACTGCGAAGGTAGCTTCAATTCTATGTGAAGGGCCGAGGAATATTTTCTGATCTATGTAATGGAAGCATTTAATAATACACAACGTTCTTGTACTGTATAGTGCTAATCTAGGGAAGGGTTTCCCTAGAAAACGGCATTTTTCATTTCAGCCAAAAGTTAGACGTAGGTCAAACCGTAAAAAAGGACCCAGGAGACTAACACTCCCTGGAACTGCGAAGGACGAGTTTCAGTGATCGAAGGGGTCATAGTCACTGCCTACTTTGACAAGTAACTACGTTTTAGCACAACTTGTTGAGGACTGGGGCTAGGCACAGGTTATAAAACACTACACTTTAGTAACCTCTGGAACACTATCCACACAGCCAGATACACAATTGAGGCTCATACAGTTGCTGTTTTACGTGCCAAGGATTTGTATTCTGTACAGCCAGCCTTGTGATTTGCACACTTCAGCCCTTGGCAAAGCAAGGCAAATGGCAATATTTTTTTTTATGAGTTCAAGTCCAAAGCCACCTCATGGATTGTTTATTGGGTGTTATGGGACCCGCTTCTAACAGTGCGCTTGTTCTCCTTGCTGCAAGAGATATCATGTTAAATACTCCACTCTGATCCTGTATTTGACATTCACTTACAGAACGCAGGACCCATTATGAAGCCTTTGATTTGCTGCAGTGGATTCTTTTACAGTTAGAGAACATTTGTCAACAAGAGGAGAGCCGCCTCTGCCAAAGAGATATAACAGACTGTCTTCTCCCCAGGCCTTTTTTTTTTTTTTTTTTTTTTTTTAATCTTTTATTCATATCTTGTTCAACCAGGGTTACGCCAGACATTGCTAGGGGTTTCATACGCAGCATAAAGCATGCCTTACAATGGTGATCAGTGGTAGTGTTCATTTCTCTTGCTGATCACCAATGTATGGGGGCACTCATGCTGCTGCCTGCAAATATAAAGGGTGAATGTTTCTAACATGGGTGGGGTACCTTCCTACTGACCACTAATATAAGGGGCTCTTTTATTGATCATTATTGGAAGAGGGCATTTTTCCACTGGCCACCACTGTAAAGGGACACTGCCATGTGACCTTTCTGCATTTCTTTTTTGGCCATTATTATTTGTTTTCTTTTACTAAAAGTCTAGCTGTTGTGCAGTGATGGGGGAGTATTAATATATAGTCCACTCCAGGTATCAATTATGCTAGATACACCTCATTACCTATTCCTTTATATTATATTTATCACCTACTGCTGATGCTAATGGACTATGAGCTTGTATAATCAATTTTAGCAGGGGTTCATTGAGGCCCATAATTTATTTAAAGGATTCATCCATGGTTTAATAAATAAGTGAGAAAGGCTACAATAGAATGTTATAGATTTTGCTAGCCCCACAGCGAGGATAAACTGTAGTTAGAAAGCACACAATGTGTTTACAGATACCCTAGAGAAGCTTTTATTTGACAAGCAGCAGTATATGGGCACAGCAGTCCGCTATTTTAGAAGCGGGCCCTTAAATCAACACCATAACCTGTATCCATATCCAATCGGTAGGGAGCTGATCCAAGAAACAATGTATTTTAGTAGGAGAGAGGCTGCTTGGACTCGAGCTCATGGCACATACTAACAACGGTGATCTTCCTGACTGCACAGCATGGCAGGCCTTAGCTCACAAGTTTTTGATGACCTGATTTATCAATCCTTTGGCAGACAAAACCATGATATATGTATTTCAAGTGTGTAGATTTCTGTTTTAAAGCTCTGTTTAAAATGGTACTAAAAGCCTTTTTTTTTTTTTTTTTTTTACCTCCTTCATACATTCTATGCATGAAGGTATAAAACCTTCAGCAAACAGTTCCCTCTGACCCCCAACTAAATACTTAACTAAGCCTAATCTCACTATAGCAATGTGCTTGAAAGCAGTGGCTCACCCGCTTCTCTCCCTCCTCATTGGCTCCAAGTGCTGTCAATCACAGCCAGTGAGGCAGGAGTAGGGCAAAAGGGGGCGGGACTCAGCAGCAAGCAGCTGCTTATGGATGCATGCAACAGACCTGAGAAAAAGAGGATTGGGGCTGCTCTGTGCAAAACCACTACACAGAGCAGGTAAGTATGACTATTTTTTAATTAAAAAAAAAAAAAACATTTTCACAGTCACCTAAATATTGGGGGTTATTTACTAAAACTGCATGGTGCAGCTCTACATAGAGACCAATCAGCTTCCAGGTTTTATTGTCAAAGCTTGATTGAACAAACGGAAGTTATAAACTGATTGTCTACCAGATTCTGAGTGCTCCAGTTTTTGTAAATCTCCTCCATTATTTAAATACAAGGGGTATGTGTTGTATTTTTGCTTGAGGCTTGATGTCCTTCATGTATTCTATCCAAACCTGTACAGTAATCCACTCATAAAACTTCTGTACTTTGTCTCTCTGCAATTATTCCCTATAATAAAGGCCAGTCACTACTACTCCTTGTCCTTGTGCAGGGGGCCGGTCTTGTGTCCGCCTTTCCCTGTAGCTTTCAACAGACAGCCTGTAGTTGGGGGGCCAGTGATGATAGCTGCCACTTAGCAGCAGAAAATGTTTAAAAAAAAAAAAAAAAAAGCATTAACATCTCTTCTATGTAGACAATATTTGTTTAGCCCTTATTTCAGTTCTCAAGATGATTTCCCAAAATGCACATAAACTTCTGTTGCTTCTCCCCCAAGACATTTATCCTTCTGCTCCCCCAAAACATTTACCCTTCTGCCCCCACGCGACATTTACCCTTCTGCTCCCACACACGACATTTACCCTTCTGCTCCCACACGGCATTTACCCTTCTGCTCCCACACGGCATTTACCCTTCTGCTCCCACACGGCATTTACCCTTCTGCTCCCAGTACCAAACACTGTCCCAAAAATCCTAAAAAACTAAAAAAAAAAGTCATCAACGAATCAGCTGGTAACACCTACCATTCTTGGTTATGACCAATTAGTGGCAAGAAAAAAGTCCATTGGATTTTCTCTTGGGCTTCAGAAAATGAGGAATCTTGATTTGACCCAAGAAGCCCTGATGTGGAATCCCTCTTAACAGCTGCCAGAGGAAGACAAAAATATTTTTGAGAACACCTAAAACAAAAACTGTAATTAACAGGATGTGCTGTTCAAAGCCGACATTGTGCCTCCACCTTCCTTCCTACTCATCTATCCATGGTATTGCTCCCACACTGTGGGTACCATGCTGCAGGAGGTCGCTGCCTGTTTTTTTGTTTTTCCTTGCATACATATGACAGGCAGATCAGGACAGGGCAATAGGAACTTGTAAACTTCAAAAAACACAACCAGTATATGCCCGTCCGGATGTAACCGTACCCTCTGCTGGATGAGGTCAGTGCAATAAGGCACTATAGGAGTTTGGTTACTGCAGCCACAGCTTAGTGTCATGCCATAGGCCAGGCCTTCCATGACCGCTCATTTGTCTTTGTTTTTCCCTCGTGTGCTAGTTGACTCTTTAGCAGCAGTCCTTGTTTTTTTTGTCTCAGATTTGTCCTTTCCAGAATTTGAGGATCTGCTGCTTGGATCATCTTTTCTCCCCACTTGAATCCCCTTTGCCCGTAAGGCCCTCATCATCTCCTCCTGCTTCATCATTAAGAGAATCTCTCGACTCCAGATCAAGATATTAAAACCTGTAATGAAAAAAGGACAGCACAGTGTCAGGGACTGTAGAGCACTGCCATAAGCAGCTACATTCATGTAAAATCACTCCAGTCCTGCCCTAACCAAGCTGTTAATTTATAGTGTCCTCCCTGGGGAGATGTACCCCTCGATTTGTCCAGGGGAACATCGTCACCAAGAAGAAAAGTGGTTGGATTTTCAATCACTTTCTTTTTTGGATTTTCAAACATGTAGGTAACAGGCTACAAATATTAATTGTACCTCTAGCTTATACACAAACACAGAATATTTATTGCATCTTTGTCATGTTGACCCTGAGGTCATCACAGAGGACAAGGGGGCACTCTTTATGTCTGGAGGAAAAGAAATTTAATCTCCAAACACAGAAAGGTTTCTTCACAGTGAGAGCTGTGAAAATGTGGAATAGACTCCCTCAAGAGTTGGTTCTGGCCAGCTCAGTGGATTGCTTTAAAAAAAAGTCCTGGATTCTTTCCGAGATACACAGAATATAACTGGATACTAACATTTATAGATAAAGTTGATCCAAGGAATATCTGATTGCCTCTCGGGGGATCAGGAAGGATATTTTTTCCCTGCAGGAGCAAATTGGATCATGGTTTGCTGGGGTTTTTTTTTTCCCCTTCCTCTGGATCAACTGTGGGTATAGGATTATAGCTTTTTTTTTTTTTTTTTCTATGGTTGAACTGGATGGACTGTTGTCTTTTTTCAGCCAGATTATGTAACTATGTTATTCCTTTGTAGACCTGATAAAGAAGGATCTACTGAGCCCCCAGATTGCACTGGCTTTTCTCCTGTAAGGAACATGTCTGGACCTTATTGTTCAGCTTGCAGTACAAGCAGGAATGCGTCAGACAGAACATGTAATACAAGCAGACCCACCACCGTCTCTTCTGGGAGAGCTTCCCAATAGGAAAAGCTAGGAAAAAAAAACATGTTTTAAGTATAAGTTCCCCTTTAAAAAAAAAAATTCAAATTTTTTTGCAGGGTAAAAACTTTTTTTCTTAGGAGCCTGGAAAGCATTTTACCCACGAACATCAGATTGCAGGTGCCGTGTCAAGCTCCTGCAGACTGTCAGTGTAGTAAGATCCATGAACTACAAGGATGCTCAACAGCACCCTCACAATTCATTGAGAACTACAAGCCATCAGCTGCAGCTAGACTACACAGCTAGACAAGGTCTCTCTGGCTGTTGGTAGTTGTACTCCATATCAAATATAGGTGCAGTGCTAATATAAAGGTAATACCGTGCAAAATGCTAAAATGAATATCCAGCAATATGAATCATTGTTAGTCCATTGATATATAAAGTGAAAGTAGTGCTGATTAAAGTGACCAACATATTGGTATTAATAAATATATTCAGTAAGGTGAGTATTGGTGTATAAAGTGCAAAATATATAAGTTCACATATATTAGTAGACATGAAGTCCCAATACAAAATATCGGGTTAGAATTGATCCCTTTTAAATCTTCTGGTGATAAATCAAGTAATAGAATTGCGCACTCACCAGATGCGCAACAACATCACGCATTTGAGAATACAATCTCTCAGGTGGTCAGCTGGATCCTCTTACAGGGCTTCTACAACCTGGCATGGATTCCTCCCTGGGCTAACCATGGATAGCAGCAAATTCCTTCTCCTCATCAAGTGACCCTGTGGGTGGTTAGACTCATCAAGAGCCCAAGAAAGGATGCCACATAGTGTGATACTGCTTTCACAGGGTTTATTATCCAGTCACAGGTAACAACAAAGTAAACAACCAAAATAACTGACCATATGTGGACTTTTTTGCACTTTATACACCAATACTCACCTTACTGAATGTCACTTTATATATTTATTAATACCAATATGTTGGTCACTTTAATCAGCACTACTTTCACTTTATATATCAATGGACTAACAATGATTCATTATTGCTGGATATTAATTTTATCATTTTGCACGGTATTAATACCTTTCTATTAGCGCTGCACCTATATTTGATATATTGATTTTGGAAGGTTGTTTGGTACCTTTTATTGGTGTTGCAGCTGCTTATCTATAGCACTCACTTTTGTGTTTTATGCTCATGGTAGTTGTAGTCCATTCATTCACAGAAGTCTATGAATGAATGATAAAACCCTGTGGGCAGAGTCCTGCACGGCCAAACTCTTTTCAAATTGTGACATCGGCTGCAGAGAGAAGATCTCTGGCTCGCTGTCACAGGCAGGGGGGATCCAGGGGAGAACTGCAGGAGCTGAAACGTGATACATGTTCCCGAAGCTGAACTTATCCTTTAAGAGGAACTGGGATTTCATTACTTATTAAAACAATCAATCAAACACGGGGGATTTCAGTGAAGCTCACAGATTCTGGTAAGGCAGCTCTCAAAATAAAACCTCAATGGGTACCCAGAAGCAGCTGAAAGCATGGATACACATAAGGGCGTGTGTGTGTGTGTGTGTGTGTGTGTGTGTGTGTGTGTACACAACCCAGCTTGGGATTGAGCCCGCACATCTGCACTTGCTATGGGTGCAGCCACAGAAGAGGAGGGGCCAAGATCACCAGGAGGTGCTCCCAGAAGAGGAGGTTCAGGGCTGCTCTATGCAATACCACTGCACAGAACAGGTGAGTATAACATGTTTATTATTTTAATTTAAAGTGATTCTAACGGCTTGAATTTAAAAAAAAAAAAAAAAACACATCTATACTTACCTGCTGTGTGCATTGGTTTTGCACAGAGCAGCCCGGATCTTCCTCTTCTCAGGTCCCCCGCTGGTGCTCCTGGCCCCTCCCTCCTGCTGGGTGCCCCCACAGCAAGTAGCTTGCTATGGGGGCACCCGAGCATGCGCAATCCCCAGCCACTGCTTCGTGTGTCCTTTCACACACGGAGCCCCGACTTGACCCCCTCTCTCTTGGCTCACGCTACTGTCTCAACCAATGAAAAGAAAGGAGACCTGGGATAGCCGAGACTCCAGTGCACATCACTGGATCAAGAAGGGGCTCAAGTGAGTATTTGGGGGGGGGGGGGGGGGAGAGATGCTGCGCAGAGAAGGTTTTTTACCTTTATGCATACAACGCACAAAGATAGAAAACCTTGAGCCTTTACAGCCACTTTAAAAAAACTGCCTTTAAAACTGCTTTAACTGTGAAGAACAAAGTGTACAAATGTGTTATTGGTGAAATGAGAACGTTTTTACTACAATTTTACAACAAACCAGAAGAATAAGCGTACCCATTCCTGATGCCAACAGATCTCCCATTGGGTTAAATTTATTGAGCTACAAATAAAACAGAACGGAAAAAGGTCAGATATAATATGTAAACTACAATACACAGAAATATGTTATTACAGGAAGTAATCCTATCAAATTTGTTATATCCGAGTCAGATTTGGATCTTCACCACACCCCTACTCCTCCGCACTTCAGATAGTGAAAAAAATGTAAAAGTAAAATAAAACATGAAAAAATTCCCCCCCCCCCCCCCCAAAAAAAACAAAAAAAACATTTTTATGCAGCACACAATACACTGTGGTGTATAGACTTGCATGCAGTGTCTTTTTGTGACATTTTAATAAAGTTTAGATTTTAAAAAGAAGCAAACAGTCGGATGCATTGTAACAACACATCTCACACCCCTACAAATTGCAAACCAGCACACAAGCATTTGTACTTGCAAGGTGATGTGAATGAGCCCTTACTCTAGGACTTATTTGTCAGTTTGACAACAGGGGGTCTCAGACTTGTGCATTTCAAGCCTTCCATTGCCTTATTACTATTCACACTGCATAGAGCGCTGAACAGGACACCTAACAAGGTGCATTATGGTCACAACGTGGTTTAACCCCTTCACGCCTAAGGGGAAAACAAATCTGAACGCCTAAGCACAATTTTCAACTTTGACATGTGTTAGTAAAACCGTACATATAACTACTTTGAGCATCCAGGGGGATTATACCTGTTTTTTTTCATGAAAAATTGGGATTTCATTTGGTGGTAAATGGTAATGAATATCTCCTGATTTTTTTTTTTTTTTTTTTTTTTTACCTAAAAGGAAAACTGCCCCAAAATAGTAAAAAATAAAAAAAAAAAATAAAAAAACCCTTTTTTAAATTTAGCTGTATATTTCTTGGTACTACCATAACCTACCACCAAAGAACAACCCAAAATAACTTCTGCTTCTGACGATCGCAACAATACCACATGTGTGTATGTTAGTTGTTGTTTGTACCCGCAATACGGCCCAGAAACCGTTGTACACAATTTACTTTTTTTTTTTTTTTTTCAATTTTGCCACTGAAACTAATTAAAAAAAAATACATTACACCCAAAAAAAAAAAAAACAAAAAAACCCTGACCTTGACCAAAACACTAACCCTGACACAGACCTAGGTCAAACCTTGATCTAGGGATTTTTGTTTAATTTTTTATTATTATTTTTATTTATTTTATTACTCACACTTGTTTTTTATTCTCTTTGAAAGGACAGGGAGATATACAATGTATCTCTCTCCTCCATTCAGAGAGAGAGAACAAGGGGGGTGGGCTTCATAGTGACTGATCACTGTGATAGCCAATCAGAGACTATCACAGCGATCATGTGACCCGGAATCGGGAGTTCCGGGTCCCGAGGCTCTTAGTGACACCCCGGTCTTTGTGCATGGCACGCTCCTAGCAGAAAAGACAGGTACGCAAATTAGTGGCCCTATGGAAAAAAAAACAGCTATGAGAGGCTGCTAATTTGCGTGCGCTCGGCGTCAAGGGGTTAATTTTATCTTTCAAATCCTTAATGGTTCTTTGTCTGCTCTAAAGCCACAGGTACACTTTAAACCCCAAGGCAGCACCATATGAATCAAGAATGATAATGGTGAACAGAATATCTTACTGAAACGATCCCAGATGCGTAGGGGTCATACAGCTGGCAGACTATATTTCCAGTCTGCCCATCAAACACATCCACTGTGCGCAACTCATCTGCAGTGTACCCCGGGAACTGGGGATCTGGATATCGCCCGGCTACAATCAGGTCATAACGAGGATGCCATGAGGCCTGAAATAATATTAAAGAAAAATATAATTAAACATATTAAAGTGAAATTAGATTTTTTTTTTTTTTTAATAAAATAACAAACGTCTATACTTACTTGCTCTGTGTAATGTTTTTTCACAGAGCATTCCTGATCCTCCTCTTCTGGGGTCCCCCACTGATGCTCCTGGCCCTTCCTCTTCGGTGGGTGCCCCCATAGAAAGCCGCTTTCCATGGGGGCACCCGTGTGGGCTCACTCTCGAGCTGCCCTGTCTGTGTCCATTGACACAGAGCAGGTGGCTCAACCCCACCCCTAAACCCATGTCACAGCATTTGATTGACAGCAGCAGGAGCCAATCTGCCAAATGAAGGAGGCAGACAGCGGCTAGAGCCTCTGCTCTTGTGCACCTCGCTGGATTGGATCGGGCTCAGGTAAGAAAAAGGGGGGGGGGGGGTAAGGAAATATGTCTTATTAACTGGCATCAATTTTGTATAATGCCTCTATTTCTAGATGTGTGAACAGTTAGTTTCGGTTTTGTAACTTCTCTCTCATTTTCTGAGACTAGTTTCATTTCTGTAAATGGAACTACCGTACATGGTATCCCTCAACTACAGTCGGGTCCATAAATATTGGGACATCAACACAATTCTAACACTCTACACACCACAATGGATTTGAAATGAAACGAACAAGATGTGCTTTAAATTCAGCTTTAATTTGAGGGTATTTACATCCAAATCAGGTGAACGGTATAGGAGTTACAACAGTTTGCATATGTACCTCCCACTTGTTAAGGGACCAAAAGTAATGGGACAATTGGCTTCTCAGCTGTTCCATGGCCAGATGTGTGTTATTCCCTCATTATCCCAATTACAATGAGCAGATATAAGGTCCAGAGTTCATTTCAAGTGTGCTATTTGCATTTGGAATCTGTTGCTGTCAACTCTCAAGATGAGATCCAAAGAGCTGTCACTATCAGTGAAGCAAGCCAACATTAGGCTGAAAAAACAAAACAAACCCATCAGAGAGAAAGCAAAAACATTAGGCGTGGCCAAAACAACTGTTTGGAACATTCTTAAAAAGAAGGAACGCACTGGTGAGCTCAGCAACACCAAAAGACCCCCCGAAGACCACGGAAAACAACTGTGGTGGATGACCGAAGAATTCTTTCCCTGGTGAAGAAAACACCCTTCACAACAGTTGGCCAGATCAAGAACACTCTCCAGGAGGTAGGTGTATGTGTGTCAAAGTCAACAATCAAGAGAAGACTTCACCAGAGTGAATACAGAGGGTTCACCACAAGATGTAAACCATTGGTGAGCCTCAAAAACAGGAAGGCCAGATTAGAGTTTGCCAAACGACATCTAAAAAAGCCTTCACAGTTCTGGAACAACATCCTATGGACAGATGAGACCGAGATCAACTTGTACCAGAGTGATGGGAAGAGAAGAGTATGGAGAAGGAAAGGAACTGCTCATGATCCTAAGCATACCACCTCATCAGTGAAGCATGGTGGTGGTAGTGTCATGGCGTGGGCATGTATGGCTGCCAATGGAACTGGTTCTCTTGTATTTATTGATGATGTGACTGCTAACAAAAGCAGCCGGATGAATTCTGAAGTGTTTCGGGCAATATTATCTGCTCATATTCAGCCAAATGCTTCAGAACTCATTGGACGCCGCTTCACAGTGCAGATGGACAATGACCCAAAGCATACTGCAAAAGCAGCCAAAGAGTTTTTTAAGGGAAGAAGTGGAATGTTATGCAATGGCCAAGTCAATCACCTGACCTGAATCCGATTGAGAATGCATTTCACTTGCTGAAGACAAAACTGAAGGGAAAATGCCCCAAGAACAAGCAGGAACTGAAGACAGTTGCAGTAGAGGCCTGGCAGAGCATCACCAGGGATGAAACCCAGCGTCTGGTGATGTCTATGCGTTCCAGACTTCAGGCTGTAATTGACTGCAAAGGATTTGCAACCAAGCATTAAACAGTGAAAGTTTGATTTATGATTATTATTCTGTCCCATTACTTTTGGTCCCTTAACAAGTGTGAGGCACATATGCAAACTGTTGTAATTCCTACACCGTTCACCTGATTTGTATGTAAATGCCCTCAAATTAAAGCTGACAGTCTGCAGTTAAAGCACATCTTGTTCGTTTCATTTCAAATCCATTGTGGTGGTGTATAGAGCCAAAAATGTTAGAATTGTGTCGATGTCCCAATATTTATGGACCTGACTGTATCTGCAGTTTCTGTTATTCCCGTAACTATATTGATAAGAATGGAATGTTTCATTGTTCATCCTGAGATTAAGCAACGCCTACTGAGTTCTGTATAATAGTTCTTGTCACGCATTAAACTTTCAGAGATTTAGCTTGGACACTTCAGTGTCTGGAGCTTTTTTTTTCTCCAAGGCCTGAGGGTGAAAATAACGAGGACAGGGGCTACAGACACTGAGATCTTGCACGGTGCACCAGATCTAGGGAGACTGACAGTTGTTTTGCGTTTCTTCCATTTGCGACTGATTGCACCAACTGTTGTCACCTTCTCACCAAGCTGCTTGGCAATAGTTTTGTAGCTCAGTCCAGCCTTGTGTAGGTCTACAGTCTCGTCCCTGACATCCTTGGAAAGCTCTTTGGTCTTCTCCATGGTGGAGAGTTTAAAATCTGATTGTTTGATTGCTCCTGTGGACAGGTGTCTTTTATACAGGTAACAAAATAAGATTAGCAGCACTCCCTTTAAGAGACTGCTTCTAATCTCAGCTTGTTACCTGTATGAAAGACACCTGGTAGCCAGAAATCCTGCTGCGTGATAGGGGATCAAATATGTATTTCGCTCATGAACATGCAAATCAGTGCATCATTTGTTAGACATACATTTCTTTTGAATTTTTTGTTGCTATTCTGTCTCTCAGTGTTACAATACACCTACCATTTGATTTTTAGACTGATCATTTCTTTGTGAGTGGGCAAACATTCAAAACCAGCATTGGATCAAATACTGATTTCCTTCACTGTAGGCTGATTCCTATCAGGGGGGCTGCAGCACAGAAGGTTTCTCAACTTAATGCATAGAATACATGAAGCTGAAAACCCTTACGGCTTTAGAACCACTTGAAATTTCAGAGATCTTTATAATCCACAGCAGGAGCTGTAGTGGGCCTGCAAAGTGTTCCACCCCCAAAAACTATTCATTAAACAATACAAATTTGCTCAACTGTTTAAAAGATAAAATTTTGGGCAAAATCAATCATTTGAGTCATGGACATAGCATTTTTAAACCGAGGTCACCCTATATTCAAAGTATATCCTGGGCATTCTTTAACCCCAAAGTCTGAGGATATCTGGTGGTGGAAAGTAATTACAGCACTGGACAGGTTTTGGTTTCTTTTTAGCTATTAATATTATTATTATACAGTATTTATATAGCACCAAAAGGTTTGCTCAGCACTGTACATTATAGTGGGGGACAGAACATGAGACAATACAGTAACAAAACAATACATGAGGGGTTAGAGGGCCCTGCTCCTTGGAGCTTACAATCTAGGAGGGAGGGGGTTTGCATAGTGGTACAGGAGGAAGTGGCTGTGGGGGATGGAGTGCTAGGAGGAGTGGAGGAGATCGGCTGTTAGGTGAGGTTGGGGTAGGCTTCCCTGAAGAGATGGGTTTTCAGGGTGCGCCTAAAGGTGAGGAGGGTAGGTGACAGTCTGATGGATTGGGGTAGTGAGTTCCAGAGGATGGGGGAAGTCCTGGAGAAGTCCTGCAGTTGGGCATGGGAGGAGACCAGGGAGAAAGTAGGAGGTCTTGTGAGGAGCGAAGAGTACGGGTTGGGTGGTATTTGGGTATCAGGTCGGTGAGGTAGTTTGGGGCAGCGTTATGAATGGCTTTGTATGTCTGTGTTAGTAGTTTGAATTTAATGCGTTGGGCAATCGGGAGCCAGTGGAGGGAATGACAGAGGGGGGTGGCGGAAATAGAGCTGTTGGAAAGGTGAATGAGTCTAGCCCAGCAATGGGCAAACTACAGCCCGGCGGACCTTTTAATCCGGCCTGCGGAGCGTGCTAAAAAAAAAAAAAACACAGCCAGGGCAGGCAAACATTGGCTGTCAGGATGTGTGTAGGCGGGGCAGCGTGACGAACGTGAGAACGTGGGGAGGGGAGCTAGGCTCCTCTCACAGTCCGCCCTGAAGACCGGAACGGCGCGGGAACACGGCGAGAGGAACGCGCGGAGCAAAGGTAAGTGAATTGACACAGGGGGGACTTGGCTTACTACTTGGGGGGGAATAGTACTGTGGGGGGAAATACTATATGAGGGATGAATTAATATGGGGAAATGAATATGGGGGGTGAATTACTATAGGGGGGGGATGAATTACTATGGGGGATGAATATTACTATATGGGGGATGAATTACTATATGAGGGGGGATGAATTAATATGGGGGATGATGAATTAATATGGGGGATGAATTACTGTATGGGGGATGAATTACTGTATGGGGGATGAATTACTGTATGAGGGATGAATTACTATCTACTCTTGGTCCGGCCCCCGGGTCCAATATATGAACCCATTGCGGCCCTCAAGTCAAAAAGTTTGCCCACCCCTGGTCTAGCCGCTGAGTTCAGGATAGACCGAAGCGGGGATAGCCTGTGTTGGGGTAGGCCGGTGAGGAGGGAGTTGCAGTAGTCCAGACGTGAGATAATGAGGGAGTGAACAAATAAGTGTTCTGTGTCAAAAAGCCAACAAACCTTTATGGCAGTCAGATGCTGGAACTGGCGATGTGGATGAGGAATAATGCGCTGAGGCTTGGACCAGTCACTGGCTGAGTACACGCGGATTTCACTGTGCTGGTCGGTGGTGAGTAGTTTAGCTCCATCCCAAGGACTGAAGTAAGCTGCACAAAAAAAAGTGAAAATGATGAAACATTCTGTGTTCATACACCTGTTTCAGGGAAGATGGCCCTGGGCTCTCTAGTCTTTATTTGGAAAGGGGGGGGGGGGGGGTCTGTAGTCTTAGCCTCCTCTGCTAAGGTGACAACCCCCATAGATATAGGGACGCTAGTGTTGTCACTCTAGGACAGGAAATGTGTTACTGGCAGGATCACCAGGTGAAAAAAGAAGCATAAGAAAACTAATGCAGCCACCACATCTAAGGACTGGTAATCTGTGACAGAATACATTTTTTCTCTTAGACTTCAATTTCCTAACAAACACACAAGCCATACCAGAGTTGACTCCGCGGGTGTGAGGCATTGTATATAAACAGCTGGACTTGTCCTTGATGTTCCTCAAGTCCCAGAGCTTAACGTTTTGATCCACAGAGGCTGTGGCCAGAAGCCAGTCACACCGGGGGTTAAATTCCACATGGGTCACTTTTTTCTTGTGTAGTCTCATCTTGAAGATCTAAAAAAAAAAAAAACAGTAAATTATTCAGATTGCAGGGTGACTCTTCTCATATACCACCAGGCTACAAATGAAGAGTAGCAGGAACTTACAGCAGACTTCCAGAAGCCTCGGGCTAGCTTCTATCCATACACGGCAAGATAGAAATTCCCCATCCAGGCTAAACAGTGTGGATGGACAAATCTTTCCTGTAGGATATTGTATTCACAGCTGCTCCCCCCCCCCCGGCTGCCACAAAGCCCAAGCAGAGATTTTTCCACCGAGCTTCTCGGAGTGTTTGGAGCCAGTTGGTGCCGACAAGGCTACCCACAGCTGGAATTTTGGCTGAAGAAATGGAATTGATGGAAATCCATGCGCTGCCATTGGTTGTAACATTAAAAGCAAATAAACGAATTTCACCATAATAATGCCCTTAGACGAAGCATTCACATGGAAATGGGCGCACAGAGTCCATAAAGCCCTGGTCTACAGTCAATATTTAAAGGGACATTTACTCAAAGAAGGCTCTTCAAAAAGGACAAAAGCTTTAATTACACTTCAATGAGAAGACATTCCCGCTGCTTTTTGCAGAGGCCCTTTAACTCCTGATTGTAAATGAAGATCTCATGCTGTGTCTGTTCTGCCCATTTATTTGTTAATCATCAAGGGTTTATGGCACTTTGATGACAAGCAGCAAGATTTACAAACAAATGGGCAGAACATTAGCTCTTTAAGTAAATAGCCCTTAAAATCTAGATCATTGTTAAAGCCTTAAGCTGGCCACATACTAATGGATTTAGCACAGAGGCTGTATGGTTAGCACTTCGGCCTGGCAGTACTAGGGTCATCGGTTCGAATCACAACCACAGCAAACCTGCCTGGAGTTTGCATGTTCTCCCTGTGCCTGCGTGGGTTTCCTCTGGGTACTCCGGTTTCCTACCAAACAGGCTCTGACTGTGACTCCGAGTTGGGTCTGGGCAGTCCAGGAGCCCCCTGACAGCTTGGATGGCCACCTATCAGTGCCCCATCAGTGCAGCCTCATCAGTGGCCCCATCAGTGCAGCCGCATCGGTGCCCCACTGCACCTCATCGGTGCCCCACCACTGCAGCCTCATGGGTGCCCCACCACTGCAGCCTCATGGGTGCCCCATCACCACTGCAGCCTCATGGGTGCCCCACCACTGCCCCATCACTGCCTCATCGGTGCCCCACCACTGCAGCCTCATCGGTGCCCCACCACTGCAGCCTCATCAGGGCCCCTTCATCACTGCAGCCCTCATCAGGGCCCCATCACTGCAGCCTCATCAGGGCCCCATCACTGCAGCCTCATCAGGGCCCCATCAGTATATGTGAAAAGAAAAACCTGCGCTACATCCAACAAATAAAAACACAAAATGAATAACAATGAATGAATAAATGTATGAATAAATACAGTGAACTCCTGCTACTCCTCCTGAACACCGGAAAATACCAAAACCATAAATGAAATGAGAGCGCTGTGCACTAAAACAATCAAACTCAATACCTAAACACTATATATCCAAAAAACATAAATGAACACAAATACTAATATTCCAAATAATGTATTTCTAAAGTGCTATAAAAGTCCAAATACATAAAAGTGAATGAACACAAAAGTCCCAAATCCAATGTGAAAGTGCTGTGTGCTGACAAATCTTCCAATGAAGTGCTATGGTGTCCACAAGTGAATGAAAGCACGCATGTCTGAAGTCCAGACTGTGGGATGACAACCCCCACTATAGATTTAGTGAAGGAGTGAGCGGAGCCACCAGGACAGGAAGTGTTATTCAAAGCATTACCAGATAAAAATATGTGGGAAAAAGCCTGAAAAATGAAAATGAACACAGCCATCTTACGGTGCAATAAATTATATTTGTTTATGGGTTTAGATACACTAACAGTATGAGCCACATAAATGTGACACCACAAAATTCAACATGATCTTGAGAGGGCTGTGGCTCAGTGGGTAAGATCTAGCTGTAGGCTGTGTAAAGGGTTTAAAGGCAAACCAGCATGCCCATGCAGTTGCACTGGTCAGTAGGCAGCGATATCTTCAATACATCAGTAGAATTCCCATGGAAAAAGCAATGAAGGGATGGTGTACATTGTACTAGCTGTAATTAGCAATCTCCATGTTGCATTGTTTTATCTTCTCGGCAATGTAAACTGAACTGCGCATGCACGGCTCGGCTTACAGTGTGTAGGAATGACAGCCTCCTGTGCATGCGCAGAAGTGACGTCATCCCGCTCCGACCAATGAAGACGGCCGAAGACCAGCATACAGGAGAACATGCCGGCACCAGCGAGGGACAGGATCTGATTAGGGAAAGGCAAGTACAGATCCCTTTAGTTCTGCTTTAATCCACTTGCCTACCGGGCACCCCCTACCTGCCCAGGCCAATGTTCAGCTTTCAGTGCTGTTGCACTTTGAATGACAACTGCGCAGTCATGCAACATTGTACCCATATGAAATTTTTATAATTTTTTTTTTTTTAGAGAGTTTTCTTTCGGTGGTATTTAATCACTGCTGGGTGTTTTATTTTTTGCACTATAAACAAAAAATAAGCAAAAACATTTGAAAAAAAAAAAAACGTTTCTTTGTTTCTATTATAAAATTTTGCAAACAGGTAATTTTTCGCCTTAACTGATGTGCGTTTATGAGGATGCACTGATGGGCAATGATGAGGTGGCACGGATAGACAGCACTGATGGACAATGATGAGGTGGCACGGATAGGCAGCACTGATGGGCAATGATGAGGTGGCACGGATAGACAGCACTGATGGACAATGATGAGGTGGCACGGATAGGCAGCACTGATAGGCTGCACTAACAAGGTGGCACTGATTAGCATTGATGATGCTGCACTGATATCCAGCAATGGTGAGCACTGACGGGCACTCATGGGTGACACTGACTGATGGCACTGATGAACACAACTGCTGGGCAGCAATGCTGGGCACAGGTGGGCGGCGGGGCAATGCTGGGCACAGAAGGGCACTGGTGGGTGGGCACAGGAGGGCACTGGTGGGTGGCTGCTGGGCACAGGAGGGCACTGGTGGGTGGCAATGCTGGGCACAGGAGGGCACTGGTGGGTGGCAATGCTGGGCACAGGAGGGCACTGCTGGGTGGCAATGCTGGGCACAGGAGGGCACTGCTGGGTGGCACTGATCATCAGTGCCAATCTGCTCAATGACAGCTGCCAGATATCTGCAGTATTTTCCTCATGCTGTGACAATGTGAGGAAAGTGCTGCTGATAACCAGCAACTGTATTTACTCTGTGATCGCTGTGTCCAATGACACCTCAGATCATGGAGATCACCGGGTGCGCACCACCACTGGGGGGCGCATTCTGTGAGGAAGTCAGATGTGGTCAGCATGTGGTAAGCTGGCCATACACTAGTAGATTTTTGGACAAATGTTTGTACAATTCTCAATATATTCAGTCTTTTGTTCTTCAACATTTTGTTTGCTTTTAAAACACAATTTTGCAATAAATGTAATTTCCTACACAAAACTCACCTTCACTGTTACAAACTCGTTTGAGAAAAACTTTCCCACCTGCTCCTTGGAATTTTTATGTTATATGGGCAAAAACAGACATCCGATTGACCCCATTAATGATTTGAAAATCGAACAAACGTCCCTGAAACGATCATTTTAAAATAAAATTCTTCTAGCATATTGTGTGACCAGCTTTAGCTTTGGAGCCATGTCAGAGGCAGGGATGGTAAGGAAGAACGTATTGAAGGTTCCCAAACCTTAAGGAATCTCGGATGAGAATCATGAAGAACACTAGACATCTGCTCATTGATCAGCATAGCATTCATCCGGTCCTCACCCCCTGGAAGACAACCGAAAGGGTTCGCCAAGCCTGAGCTATAGCATGTTTGGCCGAAATGAATAGGTAGGATGCCAATTTCTGCTGAGACCTAGACAGACCCAAAATTGGGCAATGCAGGAGGCCACTCTTGCATCCCTTTGATCTATTTTTTCACGCATTCAGCGCAGTTCTCACACTTTTTTCACAAAAAATAGTTTTGCCTTTAGTTATACTCTAAAGAACAGGAGAATTTTCATAATAACAATGCTAAATCTACTCCCTGGGCGTTCTTTAGCCACGTCTCAATTAAGAGGTTTTATTTCAGCCATTTGATTAGAATCCTTTCACATCTGAATAAAAAAAGTTTGCAGTCACTAGGCAGCTGCACCTCCTGAACATTTGCCCCTCCCTCCTAGATTGTAAGCTCCCAGGATCAGGGCCCTCCTATCCCTCTTGTATTGAACTGTATTGTTGCTGTATTATCTCCCGTTATATTGTAAAGTGCTGAGCAAACTGTTGGCTCTATATAAATCCTGTATAATAATAATAATAATAATAATAATATAAATCCTGTATAATAATAATATAAATCCTGTATAATAATAATAATATAAATCCTGTATAATAATAATAATCTCTCGGATTTCCTCTAGTGTACCATGCCCCTTTTACTGACCCCCTACTGATCATCCAGAGCTATCTGCACGTTAATAAAACTGTCATCTGTCAAAAAACCGACAACAGATTCCTCCCCTTCCTTCCTTCAGCCTGACTCAGCAGCTCAGATAAGACTGACTGCAGTGTGCAGAGGGATGTTTCCCCAACATGATTACTGATCACTGCGGTCTGTCAGTGGACTCGTTGGACACGGATTCCTCCACGCACTTCAGCGAAGTAACGGTCTTCTCTGGTCTCATTAAAGTGGTTGTAAATGCTCAAGGTTTTTTACCTTAATACATTCTATGCATGAAAGTAAAAAACCTTCTATGTGCAGCAGCCCCCCCCAATACGCCCTCTCAGACCTGGACAACCACGCTGTAGCCATCATTCAGCTATAGAGAGGTTGTGAAGTGGTTAAATAACGACGTGTGCATTTTTGGTACAACTAGGTGAGTTTTTTAAATGTTTTAGTGTTCCAGTACAGTTCAGTGCAGAAAAAATTAATGTTCTACTTTTTTCTGCAACTGGAACTGACTGCACTATGTCATTGGAAACCATATAACTTACATTCCATGCGTTTTTGATGCTGAAAAAAACCACCCTGGACTGCATGTGGTGTGTGAACCGGCCCTTAACCACCTCCCGTCCGGCTGTTTATATGGTGGCAGTGCAGGGTCGGGTGGCGATTTATAAACGGCCTCCCCGCACCCTGCTTGTGCGCGCTCCCTGGGAGAGCGCGCAGCACCACGATCCGGTGCCCGCTGTGTCCTCCGGACACAGTGGAACACCGATCGTCATACAGGACCTCTGTGCGAGGTCCTGATCATGTGATCACTGATTGGCCAATCAGTGATCACATGCAAAGTAGTACGCAAGATGTCACTTGTGACATCATTGCTTACTATGTGTGAAATCTGTGAATGATCACAGAGGTCACATGGTACAAGGCTATTTACAACAGCCTTGTACTATGTGAGAAGCTGTGACCAATCACAGCTCACTCAGTATTTCTCAATGGCTGCAAGAATGCAGCAAGGAGAGGAGAAATGATTGCTTTTACATCCTTTATGGGTGTAAAAGCAATCAGTGTAAGAAAAAAAAAAAAATCTTCATCACCCCCCACAAGTAGTACAGTGTCACCATGGTGACACTGTACTGCTAGGGTGACAGTATGTAAAAAAAAAAAAATATAAAAAAAAATGTAAACATTTTTTTTTAAAAAATTATAAAATTTTGGTTATAAACTAATTTGGGTTATTTTTGTTTTTACAAAAAATATAACGGAATAAATTTTGGCCAAGATTTATGATGAAATACTATTTATTTGCAAAATTTTATAAGAAAAACACTTTTTTTCAAAATTGTTGGACATTTTAATTTACATAGCAAAAAAAATTAAAATCCCTGTGGTGAATAAATACCACCAAAATAAAGCTTTATCTGTCTCCAAAAAATGCTAACAAATTCATATGAGTACAGTGTTGCATGACCGCACAATTGTCATTCATGTGTTAGCACTGAAAGCTGAAAATTGGCCTGGACAGGAAGGGGGTAAAAGTGTCCGGACTGGAAGCAGTTAATGTATACTGTAAGAGTCCTGCTGATGTGCTGTCCCAAGCCCTCCCCCCCAGGGTGTCACAGCTGCTGCATATTAAGAAGGTGCTTAAAGGGTTATTCCAGCCCAGAGGTGGGAGGAGCAGCAATTCATACACAAGGCAGACCACTTTCCTTGATGTCACACCCCTCCCCCACAAAGTGGCCTGAAGTTCAGCAAACCTGCTTGGAATCTTATTACATGCGCATGGCACACATAGATCACCATTTGCCCTATTTTTCCTTTGTGTTTATTCCATATGACCCTGGTCAGAAGTACAGTTACTTGGCACAGTTGGAATTTTTTTTTTTTTGTATTTAAAGCTGACATCAGTACAAAAACACAGCGAGACTGCATAGTACAGCATGACAATGTCTGGTCAAAGCCACAGTTTCTGCTGAATGAGTTCAGAGGTATCGAATATACCCATCAACAGTTGGAAGGCAGTGGCAGTCTGGAAGTGGGCTTCCTAAATCTGATACCACACTTAGGTTAAAGGAGAAGATCACCTTTTGTACCATCTTAGATTGTAAGCTCCCAGGATCAGGCCCTCCTATCCCTCTTGTATTGAACTGTATTGTTGCTGTATTGTCTCCCGTTATTTTGTAAAGCGCTGAGCAAATTGTTGGCGCTATATAAATCCTGAATAATAATAATAATGTTACATCTTTTCCCACCACTAGCTGTCACAAATGGAAAAAAAAATGCCCATCCGTGTCATTCATTCACAGAGTTTTGAGAATAGGAAAGTACAAGTCCCAACAACCTTTGTGGCTTGTCAACCTCAATTACTACATTACAGGATTTACGCAATGAACTACCACGGTGCTAGTGAGCGCTCAGGTAGTTCAACCATTCATTTCCCGGTCAGTGTGAAACTGCCTGTCTGTACAATATATGGGCAGACCGCTTACACTGACAGTCTGCAGGACTGTTGCTTTCCAGGCTTCAAAAATAAATAAAAAAATATTTATACACACGCATACATATACACACACACAGTTGTGTTCAAAATAGTAGCAGTCAGACATCACTAACCTGATCAATCACTGTTTTTGGTAGAAATGACATTTCTACATGGCAAATAATTTACTAGCAGGTGTAGTAGAGTAATAGAAATCCAACAGACCCAACAGTCATGACATGCATGCTGCTGATTCTGTGTAATTGAATCACTAATTGAAAGGGGCATGTTCAAAATAATAGCAGTGTGGAGTTCTATTAGTGAGGTCATTCATTCTTTGAAAAACAGGTGGCAATTATTGCCCTTATTTAAGGAAGGAAGGCAGCAAATGTTGGACATGCTGGTTACAGTGCATTTCTCTCTGAAATTCTGAGGAAAATGGGTTGTTCCAGACATTGTTCAGAAGAGCAGCGTACCTTGATTAAAAAGTGGATTGGAGAGGGGAAAACATATAAAGAAGTGCAGAAAATGATAGGCTGCTCAGCTAAAATGATCGCAAATGCTTTAAAATGGCAACCAAAACCTGAAAGACGTGGAAGAAAGCGAAAAACTACCATTCGAATGGATAGAAGAATAGCCAAAATGGCGCGGACTCAGCCAACAATCAGCTCCAGGAAGATCAAAGAAGGTGTAAAGTTCCCTGTGAGTACTGTTACAATTAGAAGACGCCTATGTGAAGCCAAGCTATCTGCAAGAAGCCCCCGCAAAGTCCCACTGTTGGAAAAAAGACGTGCTGAAGAGGTTACAATTTGCCAAAGAGCACATTGACTGGCCTAAAGAGAAATGGTGCAACATTTTGTGGACTGATGAAAGTAAGATTGTTCTTTTTGGGTCTAGTGGCCGGAGACAGTTTGTCAGACGACCCCCAAACACTGAATTCAAGCCACAGTACACTGTGAAGACAGTGAAGCATGGTGGTACAAGCATTATGATATGGGGATGTTTCTCATACTACAGTGTTGGGCCTATTTATCGCATACCAGGGATCATGGATCAGTTTGAATACATCAGAATACTTGAAGAGGTCATGCTGCCTTATGCTGAAGAGGAAATGCCCTTGAAATGGGTGTTCCAACAAGACAACGACCCCAAACACACACAGTAAACGTGCAACATCTTGGTTCCAGACCAACAAGATTGACGTTATGGAGTGGCCAGCCCAATCCCCGGATCTTAATCCAATAGAAAACTTGTGGGGTGACATCAAAAATGCAGTTTCTGAGGCAAAACCAAGAAATAGAGAAGAACTGTGGAACGTAGTCCAATCATCCTGGGCTGGAATACCTGATCACAGGGGCCAGAAGTTGGGTGACTCCATGCAACACAGATGTACAGCAGTTCTCAGAAACAGTGCGACTACAACCAAATATTCATTAAGTGATTCAAAGGAAAGCAAAATCTTCAAACATTTTTCAGTTTATATAGTGAATGTTTGAGTTTGTAAAGAAGAATACAAACACTGCTATTTTTTTGAACCGTCTAATATTCACTTTTCTTCAATTGTTTTAGAGGAACAACACAAATCTGATATATTTTTCTTCATGTTTTGATTTGGAATAGAATGTGTCGTGTTCTCAATGCATTTGTGTGGATGGAAATAAAAGCTATCAGAAGGATTTTGAGCTTTAATCACTTTTTTCAAAACACTGCTATTATTTTGAACACAACTGTACATATATATATATATACACACACACACACATATATACATACATCTCCTAGATTGTAAGCTCGAAAGAGCAGGGCCCTCGAACCCCTCGTGTATTGTATTGTTACTGTCTTGTTTCATGTTCTGTCCCCCACTATAATGTACAGCGCTGAGCATACACATTGGCGCTATATACTGTATAATAATAATATATATATATATATATATATATATATATACACATATACACACATACATACATACATACATACACACACACACACTAAAGAGCACATCTTTTTTACCTACAAAAAAAATGTGCATTTATTATTAATGTTATTTATACATATATATATATATATATATTTTTTTTTTTTAAAGTGAACCTAACCTTTAAGATTCTTTGGACTCTGGTAACCTCTCTTGGTATAATACGAATGTTATATGAGAAGATTCATTTTGTAAAGCACTGTGCAAACTGTTGTCGCTATATAAATCCTGTATTATAATAATATTACTACTACTACACAACATCATACAGATGAGGGGTATTGCCATATCCTCTCCTCTGTACCGCTTTTTTGTTTGCATTTGGAGGTGTGTAGACATGCGTGTAGCAATAGCAAATGTGTATGGAAGGAAAGGGGGGTAAGGAAATTAAATAAATGAGAGAAGGGCTATCCCTTCCCCCTCTGTCTGCCACCTATCATAGTTTCTCGGGTCCCAGATAACACTGGTAGTAGAGGGTTTCACCTCAATTTGGTAGCCTATGGACCATGGAGTCCATGCTGTCTATATTTTTCAGTCTGATCTTTCACAACCAAGGTAAGGTTCCCCATTGCTTGGATCTCCGTAATCCTGTGAAGCATTGTGTGTTTTAGTGGAGGGCACGGTCTGCTCCCATATGGCCAGAATACATACTTTAGCAGCTGCACTGCTACGTTTGGCCATCAGTGAGGAGAAATCACCACAACAGCTGTGACAGGACAGTAAATTTGGTTCAGTTCCTGCACCTCCGCTCCTCCATGTGCCTGGCTTTGTACGTTTTGCTGACAGTTTTATGGTTCAAATTCAGCACTTACCTCCTTCCCACAAGTCTCCAGGAGCACTACGTTGCCCACATTGTCTCCGGTTACCACGCTCTGTCTACTGGCAGACACATCCAGGCTGCAGTACCACATGCTGGTGGGACACAAAAGCATTATCAGGTCAGATTTAGTTTTTTTTTGTTAGGAAAACAATAATCACGGAAAGATTTCCCTTTGCCCTTGTGATTTGTTAGGTTCTGGAATCGCCATCTACTCTGATCCTGTGTGCCTCCATGTTGTTTGTGTGCCCCAAAGGCATAACTAGAAGAGTCAGGTGTGACATGTCATCTATCATGTGTTACTCACATTAAAGTGAACCTTGTGCTAAAAGGAAACGCCCGCTGATTGTATGGTGCTCCTCCTTATGTCAAATCTCAGTCGTAAACACCCAAGATCCACTTATTACATAGTACCTCCTCTACCCCAATCACAGCACTAAAAGGTAAGGCCCCACTTCTTAAATAATACCTTACCCATCTCAAATCCCAGCACTAAAAGGCAAAGTCTACCTACCTATTACATCACAGGTGTCAAACACAAGGGCCGAATCTGGCCCTCCAGGCCATTTTATGCGGCCCTTGCACCTCTCCTGCAGGTACCCCCTTGTCTCCACCCCTACCTTGTCTCAGCAGTCCCCAGCAGAGGGGAGAATAGAACAAATCTGCCAAATCCTGCTCATCCCTGCACCCCCTCATCTCTGCCTCCCCTGGACTCAGCATTCAGTAGTCTCTTGTAACTGACTCCACTCCTCTGGTCCTCCTCCAGACCCTGCACCTTCTGCTTTCCAGCTCTGCCCCCATATGGGGTGCACGGTGATGTTAGGGAAGGTGTGGGATTTTTGACATCTGATGTAGTGGGGGGGTGGGTGCTCCGGACATCTAGACTTACAGATACAACCGGCCCTTTGAGGGCAACCACAATGCTGATACGGCCCACGGTGAAATGGAGTTTGACACCCATGTATTACATCATACCAACCTCTGGGATTCCCCCCCCCATCCCAGAGTGAGTTACATGCTCCTCCATATCTGGAGGTACTGAGTATTTCCATTGACTTGACTAGCGGGATAAGATCGAATAAAGGTAAATATATACTGATGGGGTTAGGTGAAGGGAAGTAAAGTGTTACTAAACCCCAGACCCTGCATCCACTAGATCTGGTCTCCCCGACCCTGCATTCACTAGATCTGGTCTCCCCGGACCCTGCATTCACTAGATCTGGTCTCCCCGACCCTGCATCCACTAGATCTGGTCTCCCCGGACCCTGCATCCACTAGATCTGGTCTCCCCGGACCCTGCATCCACTAGATCTGGTCTGGTCCCCGGACCCTGCATCCACTAGATCTGGTCTCCCCGGACCCTGCATCCACTAGATCTGGTCTCCCGGACCCCTGGACCCTGCAATTGTCCACTAGATCTGGTCTCCCCGGACCCTGCATCCACTAGATCTGGTCTCCCCGGACCCTGCATCCACTAGATCTGGTCTCCCCGGACCCTGCATCCACTAGATCTGGTCTCCCCGGACCCTGCATCCACTAGATCTGGTCTCCCCGGACCCTGCATCCACTAGATCAGGTCTCCCCGGACCCTGCATCCACTAGATCTGGTCTCCCCGGACCCTGCATCCACTAGATCTGGTCTCCCCCCCTGGACCCTGCATCCACTAGATCTGGTCTCCCCGGACCCTGCATCCACTAGATCTGGTCTCCCCCCTGCACCCTGCATCCACTAGATCATCCACTAGATCTGGTCTCCCCGGACCCTGCATCCACTAGATCTGGTCTCCCCGACCCTGCATCCACTAGATCTGGTCTCCCCGGACCCTGCATCCACTAGATGGTCTCCCGGTCTCCCCCCGGACCCTGCATCCACTAGATCTGGTCTCCCCGGACCCTGCCCACTAGATCTGGTCTCCCCGGACCCTGCATCCACTAGATCTGGTCTCCCCGGACCCTGCATCCACTAGATCTGGTCTCCCCGGACCCTGCATCCACTAGATCTGGTCTCCCCGGACCCTGCATCCACTAGATCTGGTCTCCCCGGACCCTGCATCCACTAGATCTGGTCTCCCCGGACCCTGCATCCACTAGATCTGGTCTCCCCGGACCCTGCATTCATTCTGTCTGGTCTCCCCGGACCCTACATTCACTCTGTCCCTGCATTCACTAGTCTGCCCCCCCGGACCCTGCATCCACTATATCCGGTCTCCCCGGACCCTGCATCCACTATATCCGGTCTCCCCCGGACCCTGCATCCACTATATCCCCCGGTCTCCCCTCCCCGGACCCTGCAACCACTGCATCCCCCGGACTATATCCCCCGGTCTCCCCCCGGACCCTGCATCCACTATATCCGGTCTCCCCGGACCCTCTCCCCGGACCCTGCATCCACTATATCCGGTCTCTCCCCGGACACCTGGTCTCCACTCATATCCGGTCTCCCATATCCGGTCTCCCTCCCCGGACCCTGCATCCACTATATCCCCCTGTCTCCCCGGACCCTGCATTCACCATAGCTAGGTCTCCCCGGACCCTGCATTCACCATAGCTGGTCTCCCCGGACCCTGCATTCACCATAGCTGGTCTCCCCTCCCCGGACCCTGCATTCACCATAGCTGGTCTCCCCGGACTCTGCATTCACCATAGCTGGTCTCCCCGGACCCTGCATTCACCATAGCTGGTCTCCCCAGACCCTGCATTCACTATATCTGTCTCTCCCAGGACCCTGCATTCACCATATCTGGTCTCCCAGGACCCTGCATTCACTATATCTGGTCTCCCAGGACCCTGCATCCCCTCCCCCGGACCCTGCATTCACCATATCTGGTCTCCTAGGACCCTGCATTCACTATATCTGGTCTCCCATAGTACACAGAACATAGAAATGTAATTATTTTAGTAAATATAAACTGCTAAATATCTTTTTCTCATCAGAAGTTAGAGCAGTCTTGTGACTTCTATCACTGTTCAGCAGGGCACTAGCTAAAGCTTGTAAGAGGAGTTTTCTTTTGCTCTAGGAGGATGCAAAACCCCTGACTGCCGTCTGACCAGTGCTGATTGGCCCTGTGCTGATCACATGCACTCTCCCAAGGAAAAAAAAAAAAAAAAAACACCTTTCCAGCAATACACACCAAACTCAGCATGTGCAAAATTCCTACAGTTCAGGCTGTCTTATCAGGAGACAAGAGGTGGTCGCTTGAAAAGGGGGAGGAACAGAGAAGAAAGGATCAAAGGGCCTTTTTACGCAGAGGATTACCCAGTTAAGTTCCACAGTGAGTATAACGAGAATGCTTTATTGCATATAGAGACTGATTTTACTGTCGTGGGTTTAGTAACAATTTAATGCAAATCATTTGCGTTGCCCTGTTTGCATTTTTTTCAGTATAGGTTGAATTAGATTTGACTTGTATTTTTTAGTGCTTGTTTGAGAATCAGCACCTGCCCTGCCTAGAACTTAACAGTGGTTCATAGTACACATGAAGGTAAAAAAAAAAAAAAAAAAAAAGACCTTCTGTGTGCAGTAGCCCCCCCAAACACTTACCTGAGCCTCATCCCGATCCAGCGATGTCCACAAGAGCTTTGGTTCTCCGGAGACTCTCACTCCTCACTGGCAGCAGCAGGAGCCAATGGCAATCACAGCCAGTGAGCCAATCAGCAGAGGGAGGGGACGGAGCCGAGCCACGGCTGTGTGTAAATGGATACATAGAGCTGCGGCTTGGAAGCACACCTGCTCGGGTGCCCCCATAGCAAGCTGCCTGCTATGGGAGCACCTGACAGCAGGGAGAGGCCAAGAGCGCTGGTGGGGGACCTGAGAAGAGGAGGAAATTGGGGATACTCTTGCAAAACCATGTTTGTTATTTTTAAAAAATAAATAAAAACAAAACTAAAAGAAAAAAAAAAAAAAAAAAAACCACAACAGCAAGACTTTAGTATCACTTTAAACCCCTACTTACGCCCAGTCTTCAGTGTTTGTATACATCTGTACGGTTCGTCCACTCAGATCTTGGAGGATGGTGCTACCCGCTACTGACGATGTGTATATCTGATTAGAGTTGAAGGGGTCGAATTTCATTCCTGTAATACAGCCTCCTGCTCCAATCTGCAAAACAGAATAAAGGATACTGATAAGTGATTTTACCCCTTTCACGACCAGGCCATTTTTGTTGCTATTCAGCACTGTGTTACTTTAACTGGCAATTGCACGGTCATACAACACTGTACGCAAATTAAATTTATATCATTTTTTTCCACACAAAAAAAAAAAGTTCTCTTTTTCTTGGTGGTATTTGATCACCACTGGTCTTTTATTCATTATTGCCAAATTTTTCGCTGCATAAGACGCACTTTTTTTCCGCCCCAAAAATGGGGGAAAATGTCTGTGCGTGTTATGGAGTGAATATGGAGCGGGGCCGACCCGGAATTCCCGCTGCATTAGAATACTGGGCCGGCCGCTTGGCTCTTCTGTGCTCCTTGGTCCTACCTGTACCTCAGTCCAGCGTGGTCCTCACCGTCTTCTCTACCGGGGCCGGCATCTTTAGTGTGGGCACCTGGCTGTGACAGCTTGTAGCTTCATAGCCGGGTGCTCACTGCGTATGCGCAAGAAGCGCTGCATTTTGTGAATGGTCCGGCAGTCTTATGGGACCTGTCACATGTCCCAGAAAAAGGGGAGGGAGGATAGCTCCGCGGAAGTGGGAGTGGGCACCTGTCAAATTCGGGTACCCGCTCCCCCCCCTCCTCTGCTCCCCAAAGGTCCGCAGTATCCGATCATCCCCTGTATCCGATCCGCGGTCTCCCTCATCCCCTGTACCGCGTCCGCGGTCTCCGGTCATCTCCGTCATCCCCTGTACCGAGTCCGGCGGTCTCCGTCATCCCCTGTACCGAGTCCGCGGTCATGTACCCCTGTACCGAGTCCGCGGTCTCCCGTCATCCCTGTACCGCGTCCGCGGTCTCCCGTCATCCCCTGTACCGCGCGCGTCTCCCGTCATCCCCTGTACCGAGTCCGCGGTCTCCCGTCATCCCCTGTACCGCGTCCGCGGTCTCCCGTCATCCCCTGTACCGCGTCCGCGGTCTCCCGTCATCCCCTGTACCGCGTCCGCGGTCTCCCGTCATCCCCTGTACCGCGTCCGCGGTCTCCCGTCATCCCCTGTACCGCGCGTCCGCGGTCTCCCGTCATCCCCTGTACCGCGTCCGCGGTCTCCCGTCATCCCCTGTACCGCGTCCGCGGTCTCCCGTCATCCCCTGTACCGCGTCCGCGGTCTCCCGTCATCCCCTGTACCGCGTCCGCGGTCTCCCGTCATCCCCTGTACCGCGTCCGCGGTCTCCCGTCATCCCCTGTACCGCGTCCGCGGTCTCCCGTCATCCCCTGTACCGCGTCCGCGGTCTCCCGTCATCCCCTGTACCGCGTCCGCGGTCTCCCGTCATCCCCTGTACCGCGTCCGCGGTCTCCCGTCATCCCCTGTACCGCGTCCGCGGTCTCCCGTCATCCCCTGTACCGCGTCCGCGGTCTCTCCCGTCATCCCCTGTACCGCGTCCGCGGTCTCCCGTCATCCCCTGTACCGCGCGTCCGCGGTCTCCCGTCCCCTGTACCTGCGTCCGCGGTCTCCCGTCATCCCCTGTACCGCGTCCGCGGTCCGCCCGTCATCCCCTGTACCGCGTCCGCGGTCTCCCGTCATCTCCTGTGTACCGCGTCCGCAGGCTCTGGTGATCCCCTGTACAGTGTCCGCAGTCTCTGGTCTATGTCTCGGTTCAGAATATTTTTTTTTGTTTTCCTCCTCTAAAACCTAGCTGCGTCTTATAGAGTGAAAAATATGGTATATCATTAAAAAAAAAGACCAAAATCTTGAAAAAAAAAAAAATTTGTATTTTTTACTTTCAGCTATAAAAATTATCCAATAAAAAAAAATTTTTTTTTAAATTTTGGCCAACAATGTATTCTGCTACATGTCTTCAGTGAAATAACAATCCCAGTATGTGTATATTAATTGGTTTGCATGAAAGTTATAGTGTCTACAAACTATGGGATATAAATACTGGAGTTTTATATTAGTAATGACAGTGATCAGTGGCTTATAGTGGGACTGTGATAGAACGGCAGGCAATCTGACACTTTGTGGGATCTGACTAACTGCCGCTGATACGAATACAGTGATCAGTAATACCATTCACGGTCACTGTACTGAGGACACTGGCAGAGAAGGTGTTAACATCTTGGGGTAATAAAGGGGTTAACGGTGTGCCTGCCAAGTGTTAGTGTGTAATATGTGCTGCTTTTCACTACAGATCAATTTGTTTCTTTTCCCTGCTTTGCAGAAAAAGAAACAAAAAGAGATCGTTCTCTCTGTACAGAGCCCGGTGTTGATTGTCAACACAGCTCTGGGCTGTGATTCGACAGTCGATCAGCAGGTCCCAGCCATGAATCATTGGCCGGGATCTACTGACAGACTTCCGCTGTGTCAGATCATAGGGGAGCAGTCGCGCGCCCAAGACAGGCAGCAACGTACTAATACATCGCTATGCCTGTAGGTGTCACCCTGATTCCGTATCTGTACTGTGGTGGGTCGGCAAGTGGTTAACCCCTTCACACCGACGCCTCCCGGCCCTTTAGAGTTTCAGAAGCCGGGAGGCGGGACTGGCGGGGTTTAGGGATCATGTGACCGCCGTGATGCGCCGTCACGGCGGTCACATGATCGGGAAAGGTCCCGATCGAAAGAGAAGACCGGGACCTTTCCGTACCGGACATGTGTGCTGGGAGCGCGCAGGGCGCGCGCTCTCAGCACATATGTTTTTTTTTATCCTTGAACGCAAATGTGTGGCCGCTCGGCGTCTAGGCTCAGATGCCGGGAGACCGCACATTTGTGTGCGGCCGACGTGAAGAGGTTAAGGTAGAACTCCAGCTTTAATTTCACTTTAAGTATATTGTTTGGTCCAGGCTGGCCATAACAAGCTATTTCCAGTCTGGTCGCTGTGTGTGCCACAACGGACTGTAGCAGCACTAGGTACATACAGAATGTAGCACTGAATTCTGGTAGCAATACGGGTGACTTCCCATCTGATGCCAGAACTAAAGACTGTCAGGCTTCTTCGCCATTCAGGGGAAGCCTTGTATTTTTATCAATGAATAAAAAGCTTCCTCTGATTGGCCAAGGTGGAAACTGACGACATCCACCTGCCACTCCACCTTGTCCAATCACAAAAAGCCTGTATTTAGTGATAATCAATGCAAAATCCCCAAGCAAAATTATTTGGTCCCCAAATCCCTCTTTATAAATGGCCCTTGAAGCAAAGTGCATCAGAATAGAAAAAAAAAAAAGTACTCAACTGTATGACTAAAGAGCAACGCCAGATTTCACCAGTGATGGCAGTGTAGATGGCATATTTCATTTCATTTTAAAAAATGCCCTGGTCATGATAGGGGGGGTAAATCCTCAGGAGGGTAAGTAGTTAATGCACCCTGGAAATCCAGCACAATTGATCTCTGCAGGTCTTTCAGCCATTGAGCTTGAGACTAAGGCTGGCCATACATTATACAATTTTCTTGAGATTTTTGGTTTAGATTTACCAAAAACCATATAATATGAGGTCAAACCTAACAACAATTTCAATTGTATCCAAATAGGCAGGCTCTTGCACTACATTGGAAATTGGGCAGAAATTGACAGAAAATGGTATAGTCTATGGCCAGCGTAAGATCTGCACCCATAGCTGTGAGCCTGCCAGGAAGCAATCATCTGTAAAGGCCCAATTATCTACAGCCGTGCGATTCCCTGGCCCGCAGCTGCACATAGACACTCCCTTTTGTAGTATATTGTGTGTAATATATATATTGAAGACATTGAAACACATACTGACAGGCCAGTGATAAGACCACTTTACACACCAAAAGGACACCTTACTATGTTAATGTATGCAGGAAGTAATTACCTTCCCTTTGTTGTGTTGGGTTAACCTGTTTTTGGGTAAATATATGGAGAGTCAGGGGAAGTTTCTAGGTCTAGACACATAAGATCAAACATGCTACTAAAAGTGGCCAATCAGACTGCTTGCCATTGTACTGAATGGGGAAAATGTGTATATTAACACAGAAACAGGATGAAATACAAAGATGGCAGAGCATAAGGGAGTATACTTGGGATAGAGCACAGGTCAGGATACATGGGACAGAATACAGGTTGCATGGAAGCTACCTAGTTGCATATTATAGATTGGACATATGCTGGATGGTGTAGTATCTCTATGCTTGATGTGAGGTATCTTGAATAGGACTGAATAGAGCTGTCGTTCGTTGTAATATTTACAAGTATTCAACTGAATTTCTATCATCTGTAACAAATATCTTTATCCGAATAAATGCATCTCTCTGGAAAAGGACTATTGGTTGCTGCGGGAATAGTATATATATATATATATATATATATATATATATATATATATATATATATATATATAAAATATAAACCCTGGTCATCCGGAGAAGGGCTGGATCTCCATGCTTGATATGAAGCATCATTATTTTAAGACAACACCTTTGTATACATGGGGCAGCAGGACGGGGAATGCCCAGATGCAGATTGGCCTGTACAGGTGACAACGCCCTGGTGGGTTCACACACATGGCTTCCCTCTAGCAAATGAAGCTATAGGGGCATCACGGTGTTCTTATGGAACTACATACTGCAAGTGTCAAAGCATTACCAGTTTACAGAGAAGCTCAGCCTCCTCCTCCCCCTATCCTCCTCACTCATCGTACTTACTCCAGGAATGAGCGTGCTGTTCAGGTCCTCATAGTCCCATAGGATGATGTCCCCTCCTTTGGACCCCACAGCCACTGTGTTTGGGTGAGCTGGGTGCCACTCAAGTGTCGTGACTCTCCTGTCAAAGGGGCTGTTGGTCCTATAGAGGATGTAGGAGGCCAAGGAGCACAGGAATGGAGTCTGCAGGCACTGTGGGGAATACACATGTAAGAACCAAGCATGACACACAATAAAGGCAAGGCAACATTAAAGGATAACTTACCTTTGCTCGAACATTTCCACCCAGCGTACTCCGGTACAGATAGTGCACAATGTTTCTCTGCTTGTCTCCAGCTTTCTTAAATTTAATGTCATCTTTTGCATCTGTAAGGAGGATATTCATAACATCATTTATTCAAGAACAAACCTACATACAATCATCATCCTTTTTATTCTGCCTAACTACCTGCACTGCACTCTGGATCTCTCAGTGCTTCTTGCGTAATATATTTTTTTCGCCCGGATTTCTTAGTCCCCATCTCAGCGCTTGCGTCTCGGTCACTATGTCTAAAACCTATCAGGACAGGATTCATCACATCAGTCAAAGAACAAGAATACATACAATGGTCAACCATATGATCCTGCTTTATTACCATTGCTGCACTCTGGAGCTTCCGCAACGTCTTTTGCTGCATTTTTTTTCCGGCCCAATTTTTTAGACCCCGGCTCAGCACTCATATCTTGGTCTTCATGGTTTAAGCCTGAAAGAAAACGTTTCATCACATCGTTCAATCAGAGATTAAAAATGCACACAATGGCCATCCATATAATCCTGCCTTATTACCACTGCTGCATGCCAGGGCTTCTGGTCCTTCTTTTGCAGCATTTTTTTTCCGGCCTGATTTTTTAGACCCCGGCTCGTCTTCATGTTTTAAGCCTGTAAAGAGAGGTTTCATCACGATATACTCACAGAACAAAAATGCATACAATGGTCATCCATATAATTCCGCACTTATACCTGCACTGCACTCTGGAGCTTCCAATCCTTCTTGAGGAGCCTTTTTCTTCCGGCATTTCTTAGCCCCTGGCTCAGAGGTCATATCTTGGCTTTCCTGTTTTAAACCTATAAAAGGAAAGGATTTATCGTATCATTCACTCAGAGATTAAACATGCATGCAATGGTCATCCATAGGATTCTGCCTTCTTACCACTGCTGCACCCTGGAGCTTCCAGTTCTTCTTGAGGTGCCTTTTTCTTCCGGCATTTCTTGGCCCCTGGCTCAGAGGTCGTATCTTGGCTTTTATGTTTTAAACCTAGAAGGAAAGGATTCATCAAATCATTTACTCAGATTAAACATGCATACAATGGTCATTAATAGGATTCTGCCTTCTTACCACTGCTGCACCCTGGAGCTTCCAGTTCTTCTTGAGGAGCCTTTTTCTTCCGGCATTTCTTGCCCCTGGCCCAGAGGTCGTATCTTGATTTTCATGTTTTAAACCTAGAAGGAAAGGATTCATCAAATCATTTACTCAGAGATTAAACATGCATGCAATGGTCATTAATAGGATTCTGCCTTCTTACCACTGCTGCACCCTGGAGCTTCCGGTCCTTCTTGAGGAGCCTTTTTTTTCCGGCACTTCTTGGCCCCTGGCTCAGAGGTCGTATCTTGGCTTTCATGTTTCAAACCTATAAGGAAAGGATTCATCACATCATTCACTCAGATTAACCTCATGGCGCCCGCCGAACGCAATTGTGCAGCCTTCTGGCGTCTGGGCCTTGACGCCAAGCGGCCGCACATTTGCGTTCTATTACAAAAACCATATGAGCTGAGAGCGCGCACCCTGCCCACTCCCAGCACACACGTTCGGTACTCACGGAAAGGTACCAATTCTGCTCTGGCGATCGGGACTTTCCTTGATCATGTGAGGTACCAATCTGCTCTTGCGATCGGGACCTTTCCCGATCATGTGACCGCCGAGACAGCGAATCATGGCAGTCACATGGACCCTAAAATCCCGCCCACCTCCTGGCTTCTGCAACCCTTAAAGGGTCAGGAGGCGCTGGCGCCAAGGGGTTAAACATGCATGCAATGATCATCCATAGGATTCTGCCTTCTTACCACTGCTGCACCCTGGAGCTCCTGGTCCTTCTTGAGGAGCCTTTTTCTTCCGGCATTTCTTAGCCCCTGGCCCAGAGGTCGTATCTTGGCTTTCATGGTTTAAACCTATAAAGGAAAGGATTCATCGCATCATTTACTCAGAGATTAAACATGCATACAATGGTGGTCATCCATAGGATTCTGCCTTCTTACCACTGCTGCACCCTGGAGCTTCCGGTCCTTCTTGAGGAGCCTTTTTCTTCCGGCATTTCTTGGCCCCTGGCCCAGAGGTCGTATCTTGGCTTTCATGTTTCAAAACTATAAGGAAAGGATTCATCACATCATTCACTCGGAGATTAAACATGCATACAATGGTGGTCATCCATGGGATTCTGCCTTCTTACCACGGTTGCACCCTGGAGCTTTCAGTCCTTCTTGAGGAGCCTTTTTCTTCCGGCATTTCTTGGCCCCTGGCTCAGAGGTCGTATCTTGGCTTTCATGTTTCAAAACTATAAGGAAAAGATTCATCACATCATTCACTCGGAGATTAAACATGCACACAATGGAGGTCATCCATGGGATTCTGCCTTACCACTGTTGCACCCTGGAGCTTCTGGTACTTCTTGCGGAGCCTTTTTCTTCCGGCATTTCTTAGCCCCTGGCCCAGAGGTCGTATCTTGGCTTTCATGGTTTAGGCCTATAAAGGAAAAGATTTATCACATCATTCACTCAGAGATTAAACATGCATACAATGGTCATCCATAAGATTCTGCCTTCTTACCACTGTTGCACCCTGGAGCTTCCGGTCCTTCTTGAGGAGCCTTTTTCTTCCGGCATTTCTTGGCCCCTGTCCCAGAGGTTGTATCTTGGCTTTCATGGTTTAAACCTGTAAGGAGAGGATTCATCACATCATTCACCCAGAGATTAAACATGCATACAACAGTCATCTACATAATTCTGCCTTATTACCACTGTTGCACCCTGGAGCTTCCGGTCCTTCTTGAGGAGTCTTTTTTTTCCGGCAGTATTTCTTAGACCCCGGCTTGGCACTTGTATCTTGGCTTTCATCTTTTAAACCTGTAAGAAGAGGATTCATCACATCATTCACTCACAGAATAAAATACATCACAATGTGATGAGCCCAGTTTGAGACATTCCTGGATCTCATGCTCTTATGAAGTGGTTGGTAATGTCCACCTTTTTGGATTATGTGTGAAAATTCAGAACAGGCATAACTTTTGCTTAAAAGTTTTTGTTCTGATGGACTATATTGTGATTGATGCAAGAGGATAATACTCCCTTTTATTCAATCCAGTTTAATGTATGTTGATTAAAAGAGCAGCGACTGGAGAGGTATTTAGAGTGCTTCTTCAGGTCCAACGTTTTTTACCTTAATGAATTCTATGCATAAAGCCGGCCATGCACAGGTCGAATTTCGAAAGAATTTTATTTTGAAAATCTTTTCTAAGAATTTTCTTCGAATTTCGCACCATTAATGGGTCACAGAAACAGCCGATTTTTTGTGTGACCATCGAATTCGAGTGATCGGGCATGTTGGAAATTTTTTAAAAAAACGAACGCATTTCGAATCAATGATGTGAGAAATATAAAAGGAAAAAGAAATTAGCATGATCTGTGACCTGGAAAGAAAAGAAAATTCTTGGCCACGAAAATTCTTTTCTGTAACAACATGAGGTGAAATTGAAGGCTTGGTTGTTTGAATTTCGAAATCAATGGTGGCACCGTCGGATTACAAAAACGCACAAAATTTCCGATTTTCTAAAGAAAATTTGTTCAGGATTCGACCTTTGTAAGGCCTGCATTAAGGTATAAAACCTTCAGCGAGCAGCTCCCTCCCATGTATACACATGCACACACACAAATAAGTATTTGATCTCATGCTGGTTTTGAATGTTTGCCCACTCACAAAGAAATGATCAGTCTAAAAATCGAATGTTCGGTGTATTGTAACACAGAGACAGAATAGCAACAAAAATTTCAAAAGAAATGCATGTCTAACAAATGATGCACTGATTTGCATGTTCATGAGGGAAATAAGTATTTGATCCCCTTCACAAAACATGACTTAGTACTTGGTGGCAAATCCCTTGTTGGCAATCAGAGGTAAGACGTTCTCAGTAGTTGGCCACCAGGTTTGCACACATCTCAGGAGGGATTTTAGCCCACTCCTCTTGGCAAATCATCTCCAAGTCATTAAGGTCTGGTGGCTGACATTTGGCAACTCGAACTTTCAGCTCCCTCCACAGATTTTCAATCGGATTAAGGTCTGGAGACTGCCTAGGCCACTCCAGGGCCTTAATATGCTTCTTCTTGAGCCACTACTTTGTTGCCTTGGCTGTGTGTTTTTGGGTCACTGTCATGCTGGAACACCCATCCACAACCCATTTTCAAACCCCTGGCTGAGGGAAGAAGGTTCTCACCCAAGATTTGACAGTACATTGCCCCATCCATCGTCCCTTTGATGCAGTGCAGTTGCCCTGTCCCCTTAGCAGAAAAACACCCCCAAAGCAGAATGTTTCCACTACCATGTTTGACAGTTGGGATGGTGTTCTTGGGGTCATAGGCAGCATTCCTCCTCCTACAAACACGGTGAGTTGAATTGATGCCAAAGAGCTTGATTTTGGTCTCATCTGACCACAGCACTTTCAACCAGTCCTCCTCTGCATCATTCAGATGATCAGTGGAAAACTTCAGACGGTCCTGGACATGTGCTTTCTTGAGCAGACGGACCTTGCGGGCACTGCAGGATTTCAATCCTTGTTGGCGTAGTGTGCTACCAATTGTTTTCTTGGGACTGTGGTCCCAGCTGCCTGGAGATCATTGACGAGATCCTCACGTGTAGTTCTGGGGTGATTCCTCACTGTTCTCATCATCATTGACACTCCACGAGGTGAGATCTTACATGGTGCACCAGATCTAGGGAGACTGACAGTTGTTTTGTGTTTCTTCCATTTGCGAACGATTGCACCAACTGTTGTCACCTTCTCACCAAGCTGCTTGGCGATAGTTTGGTAGCCCAGTCCAGCCTTGTGTAGGTCTACAATCTTGTCCCTGACATCCTTGGACAGTTCTTTGGTCTTCTCCATGGTGGGAGAGTTTGGAATCTTATTGTTTGATTGCTCCTGTGGACAGGTGTCTTTTATACAGGTAACAAAATGAGATTAGCAGCACTTCCTTTAAGAGACTACTTCTAATCTCAGCTTGTTACCTGTATGAAAGACACCTGGTAGCCAGAAATCCTGCTGAATGATAGGGGATCAAATATGTATTTCCCTCATGAACAT